AAAGGTGACTATATCATATGGAACCCTGCTGGGAACCTCCTACTGCATTTCCAGCTAGATTACCATCCTGAGAAGACCCTGAGTGGTCTAGCAGCAGCCTTCATCCCTCACACTGCCTCTTCAGGTGTCCATTTGGGTCCCTCCACAGATGCCCAGATCTAGCCCAGAGTTTGCTCCTAAATAGCTTTCCCTCTCTCTCCTCTTGAATGTCATATGCTCCTTTCATTCCAGCCCCACTGGATCTGCTTATTTGCCTCTCCCACCTTTCTGGTTCTCTGCCAGTTGAAATGTAACTCCCAGCTAATCTCAACACACACCTTTCCCCATGAAGCTTTTCCTGAGTTACTTCTTTCTACAATGATTTTCCCAGTCTAAAGTCCCGAGCACTATACTCTGCCCCCTCCTGAAGGTCAGTTTTACCTAAGAGTATCCTGGATGAAGCAAGAAAAATGATTAATCTTATTAAATATTGACCCTTAGGTATATATCATTTTAATATTGTGTGAGTTAATAGGAAGTATGCGTAAAGCCCTGTTGCTGCATACTGAAATACATGACTGCCTCAAGGAAAAAGCAATAGTATACTTGTCCTGACCTGTGACCTGAATTAGTAGCTTTTTTCATTGAATATCATTTTCACTTGAAAGAACAACTGACAGAGAAATTATGGTTATACAGAGTTGAGTGTTAGGCAAGATTTTTCCTAAAAATGAAAGATGTTAGGCTGTCATTTCAAGGAAAACAAGTGGCAGTGTTTATTGTCAATGATAAATTTAAAACAAAAACTAAAATTTGGGAAAACTTGCATCTGGCATCATGAATTTGACAGCTTGTGGTGGTTTGGTAGGTATGCCCCCATATTCTTTGATCCAGTTCTCCTCAAGAGATGGGGCTTAGTTCCCCACCCCTTGATTGTGGGCTGGACCATTTCTACTGAACAAATATGGCTGAAGTGATGAGTTATCATACTGAGACTAGGTTGTAAAATAATTATGCTTCTGTCTTAGGTGAGCTCCTTTATAGTCACATTCCCTGTCTCTTTTTCTCTCTTTCTCTCTCTCACCACTCATCTGGGACAAGATGCCAGGATGTGAGGTAGCCCTGGTAGAGGAAAGCCAACTGCTACATCTTGAGAACATGCAAGCAGCCTAATGGAAAGGTCCACTTGGCAAGGAACTGAGGCTTGCAAGCAAACATGTGAGTAAACTTGGAAGTGGATCTTCTGAAGCTTGCCAAATAGCATATGAATGAGTTTGGAAGTAGACTGTCTCTCTATTGAGCCTTAAAATGACTGCAGCCCAGCCAACAGCTTGACTGCAACCTCTTGAACGACCTGACCCTGAACCACCCAGCTAAGCCACTCTGGATTCCTGATCTACAGAGACTGTGAGACAGTAAAAACTTGTTGTTCTAAGTTGCCAAATTTGGGTAATACTATGCAATAATATGTAATACAATAGTTTCCCCAAACTTAAAGACTTTTCTGATAAGAGAAATGATAATATTAGCAAAGGGTTTTGGTGGGGGGGGGGGGAGGTGTGTGGGAGGACAACAGGCTGTTTTATGATGAAACATGTCAGTGGAAGATCTACCAAAATCAGAGGACCAATATCCAAGTGATCAATGCATGATGTTACAAAATCATGCATTAGTAGAAGATTCAGTCAAAGTACAAGACAGACCGATAAATTTTAATGTAACAGACTACCCTAACTAAACTGACTAAACTAACTAACATTTAGTTACTAATGTAGCTAAAGGTTGCAACTAACCTTTGGGAAACTACCACTTATTGAAAGATGGTATAGTATCAAAGAAGACTATCCAGGCTTACCAGAAAAGAGTATTATGTAATATATGGGCTGCCAAAGTGAGCATACCAGGAAAGAATATTAAAATATTCCTTACTTTTACAACTACATTATCTCTCTAAGGCTGGATTTTCTTCATGTATTTCAACCAAAACAATGTGCTGCAACAGATTAAACTCAGAGGCAGATATGAGAAGCCATATGTTTTTAATGAAACTAAACATTAGAGAGATAGCAAAAATGAAAACAAGATCACTCATCTCCCTTCATGTTTATTTTGAAAAACAGTTATTTTTCATAGGAAAGATTGTTATTGTCATTTTTTAAATGACTTGTATTTGTTATATATTGTGTCAGCAGTTAGGCCAAAATTTAGCAGCTTAAGAGTATTTATTATCTCACCATGACTATGGGTCAGGAATCCACATGTAGCTTCTTTTGGTTCCTCTGGTTCAGGATCTCTCACAAAGCTATATTCAAGGTATGAGTAGAGCTGCAGTCATCTTAGGGCTAGACTGGGGTAGGATTAGCTTCTCAGCTCACTTACAGAGCTATCAACAGGACCCAGTTCCATACTGCTGTTGGCCAGAGACATCAGTTCTTTGGTCATACGAGTCTCTCCACAGGAAAGTTACAACATGGCAGCTGGCTTCCCTCAGAAAGAGAGAGAGCGCATGCACAATCAAGACAGAAGACACAGTCTTTCTGTAACCTAATCTTGAAAGTGGCATCCCATCATTTTGGCTGTGTTCTTTTTTTTTTTTAAGTCAATGAATTGAGCCCATACTCAAGGGGAGGGGATTACATATGGGCATGAATACCACAAAGCAGGAATCATTGGGGGCCATTTTAAAGATTGCCTACCATATGAATTAATATGTATTTTTATACATTTCTTATTATTAATTTCTAATAAGGTATTATCAATAGATACAAATCACATAAACAAAAGCTATTTGGGGTCCTCAGTAATTTGTAAGAGTGCAAATAGGTTTTGAGACCAAAAACTTAGAGAACTGCTTTTCTCATAAGACAAATATTGGCTTTCCACATGGTAGAGATAAAGAGCATTATTCAAGAGTTGATAATTCATGTCTTACTTTTATTATCATTCATAATTGTAAATTCTTTTCCCCAAAATGATAGTATTTATAATAGCATTATAGATACACAAATGCATAGTGAAATATAGTGGCCTCTACCACAAGTAAATATCCAGTAGGTGTAGTATCAAGACTTATAAGTACTGTATGTACTGTATATTTATCAATACCAAGAATACTTCATTTACAAATTTTAGTAATGCTTATAACAATGATAATACTTATATACAATATATTAAGTGCTTAGATTGTGAGTACTCAATAATTGATTTTATTTTATTATTTTTATTATTATTTATTTATTATTTATAAATATAAATTATATATTTATTATTGTTTATCAGCAAGTATTTGGGAAACTCTGAACAAAGAATAGTACTAGAGTTAGAGATATATGAAGTTCCTAGCAAGATTAATAATTTAAGCCAATATTCAGATGTGATTGCCATGACACATAATTTAATGATAGAATGAATAAAGTACAAGACTTTGGGGTGTGGAGAAAGAATAGAAAGAAGGAAGACAAGACATGGAGAATAACCAGAAATAAAATACAAAACTGTCTTATGAAAGAAAAAGAAGGCTATGTTAAGAAATACGGACTATTAATAGCATCAGATACTATAAAGCTCAAAAAGAATGAAGACTGAAAAAGGCTTAGATTTGGTGATGAGAGTTTAAAGAAAATCTCCCAGAGGGCCAGAATGCACATCTAAATATGAAGTAAGAAAGCTGAGACAATAAAGGGAAAAGAAAATTTTGGTTGGTAACAAAAGAAGGTTGCAAGATCTAAGGAACAGAAAATCTAAATACGTGTCTTCCTACTGTTTACTACTTTCAGCACTGAAGAATTTTATGGACAGCCTGTATTCTTTATGCAAACCAGGAAGGGCCAATTTTGAATTATATTTGTTATAATTTTAAAACAGAATATCTTAATAAACTAAATTTTAAAATTTTGTTTGGACTAAGAATTTTTCTATTTTTTTTTCTTGACAATATGTTATATCTAGATCCTTGATTTTTTTCCCCTGTACTAAGTGCCCCTAATATCTGGTTTGATCCTGGAAAAATTACAGTTACAAAAATATACAATGACCATCTGTGATAATGTTGGACAATCGCTAAGGTTAAACAAAATTTTGGAGATCTCTGTTTCAACTCCTTTACTTTACTGATTCATCTATTTGAGCCAAGAGATTGTAGTTCTTACAGACAGCCAGATCAAGCCTGGCACTAATATCCCAGGATCTTTTGACTTCTAATCCTGGGGTATCTTATTGACATCATATGATGCTACATTACTTTTGACAGTATTTTCCTAAATTATTACTGGTGTGTTTTTTAAGAAGATTTTATTTATTTATTTAAAAGGGAGAGAGGGCATGCTCATGAGTGGGTGTGGGGGTAGGGACAGAGGGAGAGGGAGAAGCCGATCCCTACTAAGCAAGGAGCCCCACGCAGAGCTCAATCCCAGAACCCTGGGATCACGACCTCAGGGACAGGCAGAGGCTTCACCCACTGAGCCACCCAGGTGCCCCTACTGGTGTGATTTTAACAGAAATTTGATATTTTGGAAGAGAGGGTTTGAGGGTGAAGAAACCTCTGAATAACAAGGGATAGTGGCTTGACAAAAATTAAAAGGTGTTTACCTTTTAGGATTAAATTTTTCTGCTCCCTGGTGCTATTCTTGGGCTTCCTAAAACCATCATCCCTTTTCTTCAAAATGATGTATGGCAAGACCTTGTGTCTTGGGGCTTCGTTTTCATCACAAACAAATCAACCACATTCTGCACCACTTGCTCTTCTCCACAGGCAAAACTCCAAACCGCTAGGGCCAGAGGATCTCCGATTTGAGGCAGGAGTGCCATTCTCCGTACCGACATTTGAGTCTCAGGTGCCAGGACACTAAGCATGTCCAAAGTTGGAGAGTGAGTTGGAGATGCCAAGACTCCCCCTCTGCGCCTGCGCCGCATCTGGGACCTTCGAGAAGTTCTGAATACCACCATGCCACCACGCAACTCGGGAGCTTCTCTGTGCCTGGAGCCCAGTGTCTGTCCCAGGCTCCGCTGGCGACGCTCGGCTTCGCGCAGGACGTGTTGACGTCGCACGTGATGGCACGTTCCGCGAGGTCTGCGAGGAGTAGCGCAGAGGCTCATGGTTACACGTGATTGGAAGTGGGAGTAGTTGGACCTTTAGGCCGCTGGTCTTTCATTTCCGGGTGGGAGGCAGCTGGTGGAGGCGGAGGCTGCAGCCCAGAAGGCCAGGAGGGGCTTGGGGGAGATAGCGACTCAGCGCGGACGGCAAGGAGGCAGCCTGCACCTGGCATCTGCACCTGCACCTGCGTGACATGCACGGCAGCCTCCTCCGGACTGGACACCTCCTGGAGAGCAGGTGGAGGTGAGGACAGCCCTCAGGGCCATTAGCATTCCGTAGTCTCTAACCCCCCGCTAGTCTCTGCGGAGGGCAGCTTTGTTTATTGAAAGGAAAAGGGATGCTTCTTACTATTTTTTAAACTGGGGAAGGATGGAACTTGAATCAAGAGATTGTGAGTTTGGGCGAAATTATACCATTACCTAGAAAGTAAACTTTATGTAGAAGATAAAGATATTTAGTTAGTTAGTTTGTTTTTGAAGTACTGATTTTGCCCCTAAACACTGAGCAGTGGCTATTCGAAGTGGTATACCCCCTCGACATCTCAGGTCCTTTTCATTTTCTCATGGGAGTTCTTCCTTAACGCTTATAGTAACCCAGTCTTATCTGCATATTGATGTATTTCATTTCCAGTATAGCACTTATTAGTACATGGGATGACCTCATTTATTTGCTTGTTTATAGTATTTTCTTATGCAAAGTCAAGGAGAGCTGTGATCCAATCTGTTTTATTATCATCTCCAGCTTTTATCACAGTGCCTGATGTTTGTTAATTAGAAGAAATCTTTTATGACTCTTTGGCCACCCAAAGCCGGTGCCCTGCCTCTTGCTTGCAAGGAACAACATCCTGTATATTTCTGTCTTATTGCATTTATATTTTATCATAATCGTCCCTGAATATGTCTGTGTTATACTGTGTGCTCCTTTATTTAGAATATGGGCTTTCTGGGCACCTGTGTGGCTCAGTGGTTTAAGCCTCTGCCTTCGGCTCAGGTCATAGTCTCAGGGTCCTTGGGCTCTCTGCTCAGCAGGGAGCCTGCTTCCCCCCCCCCCCTCCGCCTGCCTCTCTGCCTCCTTGTGATCTCTCTCTCTCTGTCAAATAAATAAATAAAATCTTAAAAAAAAAAAAAAGAATAAGGACTTTCTTTGTTCATTTTTTTAACCCAGGTGCCTGGGATGAAATGGACTCTCAGATTTTGCTTGAAAAGGTGAAAGCTATCCATAATAGAATTCTTTTTTTTTTTTTTAAGATTTTATTTATTTATTTGTCAGAGAGAGAGAGAGAGAGAGAGAGTGAGCACAGGCAGATAGAGTGACAGGCAGAGGCAGAGGGAGAAGCAGGCTCCCTGCTGAGCAAGGAGCCCCATGTGGGACTCTGTCCCAGGACTCTGGGATCATGACCTGAGCCGAAGGCAGCCGCTTAACCAACTGAGCCACCCAGGCGTCCCCCATAATAGAATTCTGATAATCTCTATCTTTTCTACACTTCTTAGACTATCTCAGAATATTTCTCCTCTTGATGGTGTTTTTGCCCTGATATTGAAAGCCACTCACTCTAACTGAAGAAAGTAATATGTGTGGTGAAAGAATTAAAAATTTGGGATACAGAAAATAGGTAAGAGTCTTTGTTCTATCATTTGCTGGTTTGCAGATACTCTGTAAAGTTTTCAGATCCTGGCTTATCATTTGTAGATTGAGATAGTAATACTTACATATGGCCTATGTAACCATTCTATCTCTTTGTATAGAATGAAAAATAAAATCTGGCTTTAATACACCTCTTTAAAAGAAAAAAACAAAGAGTTCTCCACTTTCCCATCCTCTGCCTACATAACACATATTGGACATATTTAGTTTTGAGGTTTATTGAAACTTACTTATTCATGTAAAAAATGATTGAAAACCACAAATTAGGCAGATACAATTTAAATCATTGGTCAGAAAGACCTTATTTTAAATTAAGAGCATTATTACTTATATAAATGTTATATATAATCTTCATAATTTAGGACGGTGGGCAACTTTAGTCTTTTAACATGTAAGAATTATTTGTGTATAAAATAGCTTAGAAATACCTAAGAGGATTGCTTGGTACTGGCTGAAAATAAATGTAGTCTCATGGCGAGTTTACATATATTCACACTTGGTGAATTAAGTCTTGTCTGGGCTCCACTTCAAAGACATGTCATCAACTTGCTGTTAAAGTTTTGGGTCAGAATAAAAAGTAGATTGCATCACTTACTGTATTCATTTTTGGCACTGTTGAGTGAACATAATTTTCTTTTCTATAATTATGTAGAATTACATGGAATAACTAGTTATCTTTTTTTTTTTTTTTTTTTTTTTTTTTAGATTTTATTTTTTTATTTATTTGACAGAGAGAGATCACAAGTAGATGGAGAGGCAGGCAGAGAGAGGGGGCGGGGGGGGGGGAAAGCAGGCTCCCTGCTGAGCAGAGAGCCCGATGCGGGACTCGATCCCAGGACCCTGAGATCATGACCCGAGCCGAAGGCAGCGGCTCAACCCACTGAGCCACCCAGGCGCCCGGAATAACTAGTTATCTTTTTCATTATGCTTGAACATTATTGGTTTGGCCAGAGAGATCTTAACATAAGTATCTGTACATTCTATGACCCTAAGGGAAGGGACTAAAATACCCAATCTCTATTGGTTCCTGCAAAAGTTACTGCAGAAGTAAATAAGTCTAAGACTTGTAACCAAAGGCCATAAAAAACATGGATTGTGAATACTTAAATGTATTTAATATGTATTTCTTTGCTTTTCTTGACATGCTACAATTAAGATTGCCTGTTTCGAGGTGGAAGAATCTATCAGAAGATACGCAGCTGCTCAAAAACCCTTACTGACAGTGATGACTACAAACTTGAGGAACAATATGTAAGAAAAGAATGATTTTAATTGTAAACCATAGATTTATAATGAAGTTTGCAAAGGCTAAAATAAGATCTACTTTTCAATCAGAGGAGTATGTAATATATGTAATTTTTTCAATTGTTAATAGAGAATGTAGTTGTGAAACACTCACCTTAAATTTGAGCAAACTGCTAGTGAACAAGATAGCTTTTCTAGGTATAGAAAATAGCAATAAGTAGTTTGATTCTGTTCCACTGTATGCAAGCTCCAACAGAGTAAGGCTTTTGTCTGTTTTGCTCACCCACTGCTGAGCAGCAATAGCACCTAGTACGTGCTCAATAAATAGTAATGAGTGAAAGAAATCCCCTTACTGTTATTACTAGAATAGCTATTGATGGTAATTCTTCACAGAAGTTGTTATGGAAATTTGCTCATCAGGTTATTTCATTTTATTGCCTTGATTAAATATTGAGAAATCACATATAAATTGTTGTAAGGTATAAATAATTATGGGACATTGATATTTGTACACATGATTAAGTTTTAGAAAAACTACATTACCATTACGTTTGCAATTGTCATATGCCCTTGGTCCAATTCAACGTCTTTGTCCCACCCTATTTTGAATTTTATGTTTATTGTTCCCTTTCTTTTTCTTTATAGTTTTACCACACATATCTGTGCTCCTAATATATTGCTGAGTTTTGAATATTTTTGAACTTTATATAAATGAATCTAGCTGTTTTTTCTGTATGTTTTCCTCATTCAAAATTAATTACATTCCTAAGAGTTATTCATGATATTGCGTGTAGTTGTAATTTATTCATTTTTACTGCTGTATAGTAACAATTATGGATATTTATTTATTTATTTATTCCATAGTTAATAGATGTTGGAGTTGCTTACATTTTCTTCATTCTACAATTATCATCTTCATTCTACAAAATATCAAAGGAATTATATGCTATCAACAAGTACACATTCTTTTCCAGGAATGCAAAGATGATTCCAATATCAGGAAAGCTAATGCTGAATTTCTCATATCAACACACTGAGGGGGGAAAAAAGTGATCATGCCCATAGATTATGAGATGGAAGTTGATAAAATTCAACAACCATTCCCAGTAAGAAAGAACAAAACCAGAAGGGGCATAGAAATATGATAAAGATTGTTTAGAATAACACTTGTTATTGGTTTTTTGGTAAGCAGGAAAATATTGAAGATGTTTTAATTGAAAACAGGAACAAGCTAGGTGTCCCTTTATAATCATTGTTACTCAACATTATTTTTGGAAGTCCTAGTGAATGCAGTTAAATAAGATAATAAAATAATTGGTATGGACATGGAAAAAGAAAGATTAAATTATTTTTTGCCCCTTGATGACAGTGAAAACATGGAAAATCTAAGAGATTAATGGAATAACTGAGCTGGGGAGCAGGGGATGAGGAACTCCACTAGAAATAATAGAATAAAAAAGAAGAGTAGCAGAGACTTTCCTTAACAGAAAACAAAACATACTACAAAGTCAGTATAATCAAATTAGTATTATAATGACATAGAAATAGATCAGTAGACCAGAAGAGAAAGTCCAGCAATAGTTCTCAATATATGTGTATGTGGTAGTAGTGGTATTTCGTATCAGTGAGAACAATAGTTTAATCAGTAATACCAAAACAACTGGATAGTCAGATGGAAGGAAACCATAACCTATTAAAAATGAAGCAAAGATGAATTAAAATTTTTAAAAATTAATTTATAAAGAAAGAAAACTGAAGAAAATTTGGGAGACTATGTCTAATTTAGGGCCTGAAAAAACGTCATTGACAGGAAAACCATAAGTTTTATAAAGAAAAATAGTTTAATTTGACTATATAAATATTGAAAAATAAAAAATCCTTTCTTGAATATAAATTTTATTTTTTAAGATAATTTACTTTTAATTTATAAAGGTATTGGATTTTCACTGCAGTTCGAGAAGTACTGATGTAAGTTGTGCGTTGCCTATATTTCTGAGAAACTAGAAGATACATTTAAAGTTAGATTAAGTTGGAACATTTTTGGCTATAGTATGTCATAGATGATATGTACTTAAACTTGCATGATTTTAGGAGACACAGAATATCTGTTCATCCTATAAATAATAATGCTGTATTAACCACTGCATTAGTATGATAATGGCTGATTGCTTTGAGACCAGCGGGAGTCCCTTTAAACTGGCCTCTGTGTTTGTTTATTTATTTATTTTTTTTTTATTTTTTTGACAGAGAGAGAAACAGTCGAAGAGGGAACATGAGCAGGAGGAGTGGTAGAGGGAGAAGCAGGCCTCTTGCTGATCAGGGAGCCCGACACAGGGCTCGACCTCAGGACCCTGGCATCATGACCCAAGCCAAAGGCAGACACCCAAATGACTGAGCCACCCAGGCGCTCCTTCTGTGTTCTTTTAATGAGATTCCATTAATATTCAAAAACTGTTTTCCTTTTTGGCTTGAGATCTCCCTGGTTCATCTTGTACTTCTCCTGCCCCAGACCTGGTATCAGCTGTTTATTCAAGGAGTCCTAGTTCATTGTAGTGAGGAATGATATTAAAGCCCAGATTCTAGGTACTAGGAGTATTCTTTTCTACAGGATTGGCAATGTTTCTAGCCATTCCAGTCTGTACACCAAGAAAAAATGCATTTTTAACGATCATTTTCAATTGTTTACCATTACAGTGTTTTACTTTGTTCTTTGATTTTCTGATTAGGTCTTTTTATTCTCTTATACTGAAATCCTTGATTCTTAATGTTATTAACTCAAAAATGTGTTTATCCTGCACTATAAGGAAAATAATTTCAAATAACAAAACTAATAATAATAGTACCAAGAAAATGACTGAATGAAATTTAAAATGTCGTGTTTAGTTCTTTTTGTCCTTGCAGTGTTCTGAACTGTGTTCTAAAGTCACTGGAATAAATAATTTCTATGTGTTATAAAAAAATTTGATATACAGCTATTTTTTTCAATTTGGGGGATTAGTTTTTAAAAATAAGTATTTTGAAAGTTTTTATGTGTATATTCTTTTGATCTCTACTGCTTTAGATATTTTCATTTACTTTACCCACACATTTGTCACTACTGCACCCATTAATGTGCTACACTTTTATTTTCTATTCTCAGATATACAGTATAATTGACTGCAGTTAATCTACCCAGCATTATTTACCAAAAAAAGCAGAAAGGGAAGTCAAAAAAATGTTCTCATCATTTCTGTTTTCTATTTCTTAATGATTGAGATCATATTAAAATAATTGTTTCAGTTAATTAGGACATGTCACATGATCTAGTATTCACTATAATGGGTAAAATAAATAAAAATGTAGTGCTTTGTATATGGGAAAGCATGTTCTTCCCATAATGTGTGATAAACATGTGTGTATGTGTAATATGTCTTATGTGTCCTGTATTTACATGTCAGTTGGTTGACTCCATGGTGAATTTGTTAATGGTAAAATTTTTCATCCTACCTGAGATGTAAATAATAGATTTAATTATATTCATTCAGTAAATATTCATTATAATGCTGAAAAATTATAAAAGTACATAAAAGCACCGTCCTGGTTTGGGGACTATAGCCTTGAGCTAACCAAAGACCCTGAACTCATGGAGCTGATATTGTGATAGGGAAACAGATCACAAATAAGTCTGACCTTCTCAGCTTCCTACCATCTAACCAGTCTCAGCAATTCCCACAATTGTGCAGTAATGCTAACGTTGCATTCTGTCTCCTATATGTCTTGCCACTTTTTAATAATCATTTGAAGACTTCCATTGGGCTTGCCAAGGCTATATAAATGGGACCCAACTGAAAGTTTAGAATATAATTAATGTCCTAGCACATTTCAAATGATTAAAGTTAAAAACATCTTGTTTATACACAAGCTGCTTCAAATTCTTACTATAATGAGAAAGTCTATACAATTTCTCTTGTGACCCAGGATTTCCCAAGCTTGGTCAATTTATGATTACAAGAGGGATCACAAGAATAATAGTAACCTGTACTTCGCTGGCTTTGCCCCACCTGCAGAGCTTCCAATCTCTCCAAAGGCTTGAATCTGCTCCCTTCCTTCCAAACATTTTTGGGTATTCCCAAAGAGCATCTAATTATTAAGAACAAATCTGGTCAGCTGCCTTGCAGGTAGCCTCTGCTTGGCACTTGTAACTACTTCTGTGGATATCACTATGTCTCCCTTGGGCACTGCTTCTGTTTTGGCTCTGTTCTGGACACTGCATCCTCACAATAAGGACCACTGCTAATGCAAAGACACAAAGAGCCAAAGATCTTTGGCAAAGTCATCCTGAAAATGCCTCCTTCCCCTCCTTTTTTTTTTTTTTTTCCTGTGGGAGCAGTACACTAACTGTACAGCTAATTTGTGAGTACTGCCTTAGGAAAGCTTAGTAAGACTGTTTAAGGTGTCTCTTTTCATTCCATCTACTCTGAATCCCTATTGAATGTGAGACTAAGGATAGATCTGAGTGACATACACCATCCTATGCTCAAAATCACTCTTCTCCCAAGATAATTAAGGCATTATTACTTGACTGGCTTTGTCAGAGCTGGCCAATGTAATTAAATCTGGGTTCTCTCCCAGAAGGATCCTGCAGTCTTGTATATACAAGACTGTTAAAGGCTCAGACAGGTCCTCAGATGTTGGACAACTGATGCAGCAGACTGATAAAAAAACCATATATATATATATATATATATATATATAATTGAGGATTTTTCAAATTGGGATATATTCCCAGGATGATGGTTGGTATGGGTAATAATAATGTATTGGTATTGTTTGATATTTTCAGACTGCTTTCAAAACATTCTTACCTCTCAGCGTTAGTTACTATGAGAATTAAGAGATAAGTGGGGTAACCTAGCTCATAGCACAGTGTTAAATTAATTAAGTAAGGAGGCCATTAGACTGAGGTGGCTCCAATTCTTTAGCAGCCTACAGAAGCAAACCAAAACCTAAGCCTGTAAATGCCTCAAGATTATGCGGTCTATACCTAAGGACGACCCGTCACAGTCAACTAGGCTTTCCTAAAGAATGCAACCCCCTGAGCTATACCCAATCAAATAATTTTCTTGCTTTGCTTCCATGTCTTCCGTATAAAAGCCTTGCCTTTAGCTACAGTCTGTGGCGTGCTTCTAATCACTCTGGTTTGGTGATGCCTGATGCAAATAAATTTTTGTTCAAATAAACTCTTAAAAGTTTTAATGTCCCTCAGTTTATCCTTTAACAACAGTTAACTAGTACATATTTGGCCTTCAGTAAGTGCCAGTACCCTTCCTTCAGATAATGATTTTTAAAATTACTTTGAGGGGCACCTGGGTGGCTCGGTCGAAACTGTTTCGGCTCAGGTCATGATTTCAGGGTCCTGGGATCTTGTCCCAGTCATGCTCAGTGGGAAGTCTACATATAGATTCTCTCTCTCTCTCTCTCTATCCCCCTGCTCACACGTGCTCTCTCTCAAATAAATCATCAATCTTAAAAAATTATTTTGACATTATTAAGCACTTACCACCAACTGAGATGTACATAGTCTCAGAGCATGCTGTGAGCTGGAGGAACTTAGCACTGGAACTGACAGAACTAATCCACTTGTGAGTTGGCACCCAAAGGAGGTGGCTTCCAGTCCAAATCCTTGACTGGGCCAAGGATGAATCTTAAAGTTGTTCTTTTTTTTTTTTTTTTTTTTTTTAAAGATTTTATTTATTTTATTTCCCAGAGAGAGATCACAAGCAGGCAGAGAGGCAGGCAGAGAGAGAGACAGAGGAGGAAGCAGGCTCCCCGCTGAGCAGAGAGCCCGATGCGGGGCTCGATCCCAGGACCCTGAGATCATGACCTGAGCCGAAGGCAGAGGCTTAACCCACTGAGCCACCCAGGCGCCCAAAGAAGTTGTTCTTGAGACTTGACATATTACTTGAAATCGGAAGTATAGGTCCGTATCATTTGCATTTGAAGTAGGTTTGAGGGAAGGATCCAGTTAGGATGGTTATCAGGATTCTAGCCAGTTGTGTGCAAAATCAAAACAGGCTGAAACCCATGTGAACAGGGAAAACTCAGTATTGACTTTTCACCCAAATTTTGCAAACTTTCTCAAAGCAAAGTAGCTGTTGTAGGTAGGGGCACCAGAATGGCTCAGTCGTTTAGGAGTCTGCCTTCAGCTCTGGTTATGATCTCAGGGTCCTGGGATGGAACCCTGGGTCCAGCTCCCTGCTCAGTGGAGAGCCTGCTTTTCCTTCTCCCTTTTCCCCCACCCTGCTCACTCTCTCTCTCTCTCTCTCTAGCTCTCATTCTGTTTCAAATAAATAAATAAAATCTTTTAAAAGCAAAGTAGCTGTTGTATATTTACCAATGGCTGACATTTATCGAACATATCTGGTCTGTTAAATCCTGTCACCTTTTGAAAAGTAAAATTTAGGTTAAGAAATTTGCCCAAGATTACACAGCCTAGTAGGTAGGTAAGTGATAGAGTTGGAATTCAAATCGGAGTCTGACTGAGTCCCAGAACTCTTTATATTCTAATTAAGCTTCTATTGCTTTCACTTACAGTGTGTAAAATGTTCATTTTCTTCCAAGCTTTGTGCAAATCAGAGATTCTCTTCTTTCTGTATTAAAGCCTTTTAAATATAAATAAATTTGAAGGGCTGTTACAAAATTTGGAGGTATTTGTAACCTTTTCCAGCTAATTTTTGTAAGTATGGAGCCCTGTATTATGAGCTATAAAGAATAACATTATAGGGGCGCCTGGGTGGCTCAGTGGGTTGAGCCGCTGCCTTCGGCTCAGGTCATGATCTCGGGGTCCTGGGATTGAGTCCCGCATCGGGCTCTCTGCTCAGCAGGGAGCCTGCTTCCCTCTCTCTCTCTCTGCCTGCCTCTCTGTCTACTGTGATCTCTCTCTGTCAAATAAATAAATAAAATCTTTAAAAAAAAAAAAAAGAATAACATTATAGCTAAAGAAGATAACCATTAACATTATTTATTTTGTCTAACTTTATTACCTGAAATAACATAAGATACATAAGGATATGGGTATAATTAAATTAAGTCAAACCTGTAATATGATCAGATACGGCCACAAATATAAAATAAGTGTGGCAGGGTGGGATTTCTTGAAATCTCATGACCCTCTGTCTTTTTTTCATCATTCGTCTCTCAAGCAGAGTCATTGAGAAAGCAAAGACAAAAAGAAATTTGTTAACATGACACCGAGTCTGGTTATGTTCTAGGTGTGGACAATATTAGCATGAGAACCTGTTTTTTTCTTTTAGATTTGTTAATTTCATAAGATACTGAGGAAGGTGAGAGCTAATAAAAAGAGAAAAAAAACTGGATGAAACCAATTGGGAACTAGGATAGACATCAGGAGATGGGCAGTTGGGTGAAAAGAACATAGGGGTGTCAGTGAGAGTGGAGAACAGGGAAGAAGACCAATGAGAGAAGGGACAGCCAACTCTTCCTATGGGGTAAATTCTGATAGGCACATATCGTAATAGGACAAATAAAGGGTTACATTTCTTACAGACTTTCATCATTGTCTAATAAATTTTCTTTCTGGCAGTGGATTGCAGTTTCAACACATTAAGAGTATAATTATCTTAAACATTAGGGTCATGATGGAGGGAAGCATGTTCTTCTAATGTTAAGTGAAGTGTTTGTGGTGCGGTGAAGAGTGTTCTCAGACAAATTAGGACTAAAGGCAAACTGAAGGTGGGGATCTGGCGGGCTTCACATGATAGAGAAGTTTTCTAATGGACATTGTTCTCTTTCCAAGACAGCTCCAATGAACAAACCTCTAGCACCCACAGCTTATGCTTGCTAAAGACAGTGGTCTAGATACAATCAGATGTAAAGTCTTCAAATTAAAATGGGATTTGTGTTAATCAACTCTGAATTCATCCACACTAAAATATTAACTAGGTATTCAATCAAATCCACATGATATGAAGTTCTTCCTATATTTGATAAATGGAAAAGAGTGAAGTAGGATAATACTAGGAGGGGAAAAGATGAGGAAGAGGTGGAAGAGGAAGGAGGAGGAGGAAGCGGATTTTAGATTTTATAATTTTGCCTGTGGTTGACCTAGTGATCTTTATTTGAGTGAAGGAAAACAGTCTGTTCAGAAGTCTTTCTGAAATAACTGCTGGTTTTCTTTTCTTCTTGGCATCATATGTGAAGCATTTCTTTTAAACCATATGCCAACTCTTTTCAAAGGGAGCTTTGTTCTCAGGTGATCCATTAATTGAGGTATCATTGTAGAAGTTGGGGCAAAATTCCACATAATGCAGAACTCCTTAGTATGGTTTATTTTTCTTTCTCCTTTCTCCTCCCCTTACGCCTTCAAACACATTTCTTCCTCTTCTCACTGCCAGAGTGATTTCAGAAGATTCTGTAACAAGCACTCAGAGTCCCATTGTGCAGTAACAAAGAATTCTGTCAATGAGCTGTAGGTTCTGTCCTTGCCTGCTTTCCTGGGTGGAAGGGTACCTTCATCCCTCACTAATGGCAGAGTAGGACAAGTGTTGCCCTGGCCTGCAAACTTTCCAAGCACTAGGAACCCAAGCAAGAATTTGTCATGCCAATCAAACCTGTTGGGTGGATATGTGGGCAGGTGTTGAAGAACTTTTCTGGAAGAAGTATATGTAATCTTGTTGTAAAGGGGATATGGGTGTGGGATACAATGGGGAATAACGTCCCCTAGGGTTTACTTGCTTTCCCAGGCACTTACAAAGTGGACCCAGCATCCCAGGTTCTTTTGAATTATGGTTAGGTGATGATTTTTGCTAAGCTCTTTTGTCCCCCTAATTTCTCTTTGTTTCAGTGGAAGGGATCCAGAAAGTCATCATGGACCTTATGGATGAGTTTAAAGATGAATTCCCTACCATCCTAAGATTATCACAGTCTAATCAGGTAATGCGATTTCATAACTTTGAAAAGGATTATAAAAAGTACATTGTATTTTTAATATCCATTATTTAATGCTTGACTTTGAGATCAGTGCCTGAGGCTTAGGAAGAAATTAATTTTGCCTCAGAAGAACAATTTCAAATCTTACTGGGTGGGTCTATGAAAAGCAGAGAGATGGACAAAGAAATGAGGTAGATAAATTAAGTTTAAAGAAAATCACCGTGCTGTTAGATTGGAAATGTGGAGCTCTCTCATAGCCACAATAGTAATGTATGTGGTTTGCTACATTTGCTTAAGATTTGCTTAATATTTAAAAATAAAAAGATTTGCTTAATATAAAATCAGGAAAACACCTAGATGTATTTTAACTAAAATCTATGGCAATTAAATCACTGGAAAAAAATAACTGACATAAATTATAATAATGGAAAGACAAATGTGGTATGAGTGTATGTTTTCATGCGGAAGAAAACACATTAAACAAAGCATATGTGCATATGTTTTATATAATGTTTGTTCCCAAAAGGATTTGAGGCAGATAAAATATTGGGAATGAAAGAGGGAATAGGTAAAGAATTCTGAGACATTTGATCAGGAAAAAGTAATATCTTGTAACCTAATTTACTTTAAAGTACACAGCTCTTAATGGAAAAGTATATTTAATCATCTAGACCACAGTTGGAATAGAATATGTTGTAAAGTTACATGGTACAGTAAGTAATAATTTCCTCATCCAGATATCAGAGTTTTGGCAATGTCAAACATGAGGAACATAGCCAAAACCTGGAAGTAAACAAAAAAGCTCTCTGAGTAACACAGTAATCACAGAGTCTATATATTTTATTCCAAAGGAGAAATATTAGAGCCACTTTTAACCATTCATCCAAACAACCAGGCATCAAACATTTACGAAATACTTTGCTATTGTTTGGGACTGGGGAGAGGGAATAGAGAGAAAAGACAGGATGCTTTCAGCCAATTAGCTTAATGTAATCAAGACAGAACTGTAAACAACTAATTGTTTTTAGAATATGGTAAGAGGTAAATCCAACTTAGAGGAATGAATTGCTCTAGCTAGGATGGTCAGAGAACGCTTTTTGGAGGAAGGATGCTTAAATTGGGTTTCAGAGAATGAATATGAATTTTCTAATTAAAAAAGAGATAGGATAAGTGTACAGGAGCAGAGGAAGCAGTGTCAGGATAAAAAGTGTGAAACAGCGTAGCATGTTCCCAGAATATCACGTAAATATGAACGAATGGCATGAGCCTTGAGTCTAGACTTAGGGGAAGGCTGATACTGAAGTGTAGATAACTGGATACCTAGTGGTAAGATGGCATCCCAATGGTGGTCCACTAAGTAGGATAGAATGAGGCTTAAAAGCTCCAGACCTCAAACCAGATTTTATAAATCTGTATCTTAGACTCGGTGTCTAATTGCTTCCCCCTATTTCATTCCCCCAGTTTTAGTATAAAGTCTTTTTAACTGTTGGAGATTTTTCTTGAGTATGCACTGGAGTGTTAGAGAAGGAATGGGCCGGTGACCGTGCTTGATCTAGGATGTAAAATGGCTAAGACTGGCACAGTCTGGAAAGCCCTGTTTCCCCTTCAAGACTGTGATTCTTTCACCATTGGCAACATTAAAGGAACTGGGTTTAATAATGTAAGAAGTTGCAATTTTCTTTGTAATTGTCTTCATCTCTTCCTACCCCCTGAATAGCCTCATTATCATTAGAGCAGCAAATTTGGTTTAATAGTGAAATGGGTTGATACTCCGATCCCAAAGAAAGAACTCTGAGTTCCTCTTTCCAACTCATTGAAGTTATTTACTTACAAGAACTTTACCTCATTCAGAGAATAATATAAACATAGTTACTTTATTTCTCATTTTCAACACACTCACATTGTTCTTTTTCCACCCTGACATTGGCAAGAAATCCAAGTTCTTAGGGGGTATTGTAACAGAGTGAAGTTACTTGTACTTCAAAAATAAATCATTCAGAAAACAATGCTAATACTCCAATAACGAAATTATTTTTAAAAGGTTGGATTGTAAATGCTACAAATCTGATTATTTTGGAGATGATCCATAATTCCCAAACATACTGAAAGGAGTGGTTTTAAGAATACTTAGAGGATTTTAATTAATTGGATTGGATTTTAAATCTCTAAATTTCATAATTAGTATTTAAAACTTTTTAAGAAGTTGTAGGCATTTATTTATTTAGGAAAAGGCCATCTTGTTGTCCAGAAACAAACAAAAGATTGGTGGGAGTAATGGTGGGATTTTTATAGAGGGATATATCCAGAATAATGGTTATTAAATAGTTCTTCATGACTAATGATTTTGAAGGAAATTTTCTTCCTGGGACTGAGGGAAGTTAATTTTAGAGTCTTGGTTTGAGGTCATGGCTTCTGACGTCATGTACTTCCCAGTCCAACACAGACCCCAGTACCATCAGTATCCACTTCCTTTAGCAAAAAAGTGATTTTTAAAGGTTTTCATTTGCAAGTTACAAATGATTTCCATATGAGGATTTAAAAGTATTAAGCTTTTACATTTGAACAAATGAAAAAATGTATTTTACAATTACGAAACTAAAAAGTTTAAATTTAGAAGATCTTTACTTGAATGCGAGAAATCTTTTGTGGTAAATAAGGTCAATTTTTGTGGTTTTAATTATGAAAAGTAATTATGTGTTTTATTCTGTAATTATGTTGCAATTAACCTTATACTATAAAATTAGGAGTTGCGGGATGCCTCGATGGCTCACTCAGTTAAGCATCTGTCTTTGGCTCAGGGATCAAGTCCCACATTGGGCTCCTCACCCAGTGGGGAGTCTTCTTCCTCTGCCTGCTGCTCCTCCTGCTTGTGCTCTCTCTCCTTCTCTCTGACAAATGTATAAAATCTTTAAAATAAGATAAAATAAAATACGGAGTTGTAAGCAGAACATATTAGAATCCATACAAAACTTTGGATTTTTATAACTGTATATATACTTTTCTGAATTCTCTTGGCTTCTTCTTCTTCTTTTTTTTTTTAACATGTAGGACTAAACTCTTGAGGCTGCACCAGTGACGTCTGGAAATTACTCTTATTGGTATAGAATTTCTAAATATGATGAGAATAGGACTGTGTTCTGTAATTCAGTTATATTTTTGTTTTTGGTGAGTTGTTTCTAGTGGGGCACCAACATAATTGTGAAAGTTACAGAGCACATTGTACACTGAAAACTTTCAGGGTGGTTTCTAATTTAATATTTGGTATATTTCTCTGTTTCTCCATGTTAACTTGTTTTATTTTCTGATACTCTTCATTCATTCATTCAACAAATATTTATAGAGTACCCTACTATGCACCAGACCCTATTCTAGATACTGGGGAAAGATCAGTGATCCAAATAGATATAAAACACTGTTGTCATAGAACTTACATCCTAGCCAAGTAAGAAAACAAGAAACAAGGAAAATAAACTATATATTATGTTAATAGTAGGTCTTAAGAAAAAGAAGAAATTTAGAAGAGATATGAAATAAGGGTAGGGACAAGGAGAACAATTGACCATTAAGGTAGGGTGACCAAGAGGGTCTTAGTGAGAAAGTAATTCTTGAATTAAGACTTGAGGGAAGCAAGGGAGTAAACCTCAGTATCTTGAAGAATCAAATGGCATAGTAGCTAGTGCTAAATCCCTGAGGTTAGAGTATATTTAACAAGCTCAACAAATAGTGAGGAGGAAAAGGAGAGAAAAAGACAATGAGGTTAGGGAGGTAAAGAAAAGACAACTCTTGGGGCACCTGGGTGGCTCAGTGGGTTAAGCCTCTGCCTTCGGCTCAGGTCATGATCTCGGGGTCCTGGGATCGAGCCCCGCATCGGGCTCTCTGCTCAGCAGGGAGTTTGCTTCCTCCTCCCTCTCTGCCTGCCTCTCTGCCTGCTTGTGATCTCTGTCTGTCAAATAAATAAATAAAATCTTAAAAAAAAAAAAAAAGAAAAGACAACTCTTGTAGGGCTTTGCAGACCACTGTTTGTAATTTGGCTTTTACACTGAGTGCAGTAGGAAGCCACTAGAACAGCAGAGCAGAAAAGCAGGATAGGATCTAAGTTTTATTTGTATCTCTTTTGCGGAGGCATTGAGGAATAGAATGAACATAGACGAGGACAGAAGCAGAAAGACCCTTGAGGAGGCTAATTTACTGATCTGGAAAAGAGATGGTATATAAATGCAGTGGACTGAGTGTTGGTATTGGAGGTAGTGAGAAGTGGTCAAATTCTAGGACTGTTCAGAGAAAGAATTAAATAAGATTTGCTGACAGGCTGGTTTTTTGGATGTAGAGTAGTAAAAAGCTGATGTAATAGAAATTGGAGTTCAGCATTAAAACTGCTGATGATAGAGAGATGGGTATGTCTCTAAAAAAAAAAGAAAATAGGAAAGCAGGATATATTCGAAGAATGGGGCTCAAATAGTGAAATTTGGAGCAGGATTCTTGAAACAATCTGATTAATTGATACTGGGTTTCTTGTAGTAAATCATCATTGTCTTTGTGTGTCTCTGAGATGGAGGTGGCGGCGGGGGGAGTGGAATTTCTTTTCTCACATTCGGTAACATACTCAGGTGATAATGATGACAAGAAGAATCATGTAAACTTGCACATTTTGCAGCCAATTCCAGTATGCTTAGGACAAGAGTCAAAACAAGATAAACCAGGGGAAAGAAATGGGTACTTCTTCTTTTGGGGTCAGCATTTAAATTTAGACACATGGCTTGGTAGAAAAATATGTAACATACATAGTAGACAAAGGGAAAAGCTGATAGCTCAAAAAAAGGGGGAAAAAACCCCTTTTATTTAACAAATTTTCTACCAGAGCCTATTTCAAAAATTCACTGAAGGCAAGAGTGAATTAGAATCATCACTATAAACTGGTGACTAATTTTTTTTTTTAAAGAGGAAAATCTCATTCTGCATCTCCAGGACTGTATGTAGCTTCTCCTCTGTTGTTTCCTTTCTAGTCTCAGAGCCTCCCCCCCACCCCGCCCCCCCCCACACAAAACTACTTTACATGCACCTCAGGGTCTAGATTTGGTTTCTAATACTGTTCTGAAAAGCAGTAATGGTCTTCTAGGGAACAAGTTGATTATATGTTTTATGTTAGGAAAATAAAGATGGTCAGAAATATTTTGTTGCTAGAGGAAATAATTCTTTCAGAGATTCAGAGGTATCTATGAAAGTACTGAAAAAGGAGAGTATTTTAAAAACCATGAAGGTAGAGGTACCTGAATGGCTCAGTCGGTTAAGCGTTTGCCTTTGGCTCAGGTCATGATCCCAGAGTCGTGGGATAGAGTTCCACAGTGGGCTTCCTGCTCAGCGGGAGTCTGCTTCTCCCACTCTCTCTGCCTGCCGCTTCCCCTGCTTGTGCTATCTCTCTCTCTCTCTGTCAAATAAATAAGTAAAATCTTAAAAAAAAAAAAAACCATAAAGGGAAGCACAGTCATCAAATTGTAATGATTTCAGCATTAAAAGGAAACAAAGATGATGTTAACTAGGAACAAGTTGAGTCTGTTGGAAAAAGCTATGAATTTATGACAATTCTAAAATGAGAAATACAATATAAAGTGCACTGACATGTTATTATAATGCACACCTGAATTTTTAAAAATATTGTTTATCATAAATGCTATATTTTTGTCAACACAAGTTATATGATCCTACAGGAAGGTTTTGATTCATGGATTATCAAATACAAATAGGCTTATTTCTCTACACAGGTAAATATTTAGAAAGACAATCTTGTAAAAGAGGGGAAGGTTCAGTGGATCAATCTAGTATAGTGTTTGGGGAAATGAATCAAGATTAGTTAACAGAAATACCTGAGTAAAGTCAGTGAATCCAGGCAAACAAGTACGGATCACCAAGATTTTGTAAAGACACAAAACAAGGAGAGGGAAATTTCATAAAGTTAGTGCTTCATCTGCAAAAATGAAGAATCCTTAAAACACTGAATGACTGTGTAGACAAAATTTCAGCGTGGTGGAACTGTCCACATCTCACTCTTGTTCGCTTTGGCAATATGGCCCTCACCTTTTGACTGTAAATTATGAGAGAAAACACAGTAAGCTAAATCAGAAGTAAAACCAAACATTCTAGCTGCTCCAATTTCAGGAGGAGTTGGGAGGTCAGATCGGTGAAGCAAAGTATAAGATCACAAGAGAAATTGAATCTGTGTGTAGGAGCTCTGGATAGTGCAGATCATTGTGGTTTCTCTCACCAGTGTGCTGGAAACCAAGATACAGTATCAAGTGATTGCACCCGTGTCTTATTTTGCTTGTTTTACGTACCACGTAACTGCTTTTAGGGGTCGCTCTGCTCTAAATTGGCTTGGAATTGCCACAATTCTAGCAGCCCACAGCTCCAATGGCCTTCTCCTGTTCGTATTGACTAGGAGGGCTGAGACCAAAGGTGGGATAATGGGACTTTTTCAGTCACGTTAACAGATGAAATCATAATGTGACACCAGGCGCTGCAGATGTACATCCTCATTGACAGACTAGTACAATTTTGGGTGATCTCCAGTCACAAAGGCTAAAACGGTAAGAGAAGCACTGAACTTCAATGACAAAAACAGCGATAATAAAATTATATCTTCAGGATGATGGCTGAGGCATTTAAAGGCCATACACAGTACATTAGCTCTTAATGCAACTATATGTTGCTCATTGTAGGCCAAAACAATCCATCTAAAAGATGTTTTGTACTTATACATATATTTGGATTCAATAAATAGAGACTCGAAGTTGCTTATTTGTGTTATAAACCATTAGTCCCCCCCGCCAAGTCATATATGAAAAAGCCAGAATAGCCCATAAAATTGCTTAAATGAATAATGGCAACTATCCTTGCTGTTGCCTGGAATGCAGTCTGACCACATTATAAGTAATTTCTCTGCGGTTCACTGTCTGGTACAGCAAGGAAGGATCTACATGTCATATGTTTTGCTAATGCTACAAATTTTTTCTGTCAGAATGCTCACAAGTTTTGAAGTTTTTAGAAATGAAAGTTCCTTAAGCTTGTTAATTAGTATATAGGGGATTTGTTTTATTTTTTTTTAAATTGTACCATGCATTATGTATGAATGCTTTAATCATTTACATTTTTAAAATAAACAGGAAATATTTGTAACAGTTTTGAATAAGGATATTTAATGTTTGAATAATTCAAACATTGAGTAATATTTGAATAAGAACTGCTTACTTTTGAAAGTGCTCTTTAAAAAAAAAAATCAATGCAAAAATAAACCCAGAGAGAAAAATGAAAATTTTAGGTCTTTTGGCTAGTAACTTAAATTCTGGATATTTATGCTGAGGCAAAAATCCTACATTTATTCAAAGATTTTAGGTACATGGGGGGTGGGATATAATTACTGGACACTGAATGTGCATAGGCCCATGCATAATGTGCAGTTAGGTCGTACTTGGTCTCAGTCTGGAGTAGGTTGTAATAATTCATGCGAGAATCACACATCAGTCACTTTTTAGAGGCTTATTTTCCAGAAAAGAGAACCCATGCAGAAAACGTCCAGAATCAGAATGGCTGTCGCCTTAGCAAGGATCAACCGAGGAACATTGATTCAAGGATTAAACACCATATCCAGATCCTCCAAATCAGTGGCCAAACTTCTGCATCCCCAGCTTGCTTGTAGACTTCTAGAGTTAAGGGACATATCACATCGTTTGCTGAGGGAAGTTAATGCACCAAAACAACCTCTCTATAACGTGCAGGTGAGCTCATATTAACATTTGCACAAGATACAGCCTCTTTTTTAAGAAACTGTTTTGAAATAGCAAGATTTGAAAATGTAGCTCATTTGGTTATCTTAGATATGAGACAAGAATAGTTGGATAAGAAATGAATGGTTTGGTCTTTTTTCAATATAGTATATATATTCTGATTTAAATAAATATGAAAGAGGTGGTAATGTGGGCTTTTTTTCCCTACTTGTTTATTTGATTGAGCTTTATGAAACTAAATTTCAAATGATTCAACCTAAATATCAGCATACAGATTACTTATGTCAAACTTATGTCAAACCTAAAAGAAATCCCGTAAGCCTTAAAAATGATTGTTTTGTTCTTCCCCCCCCATAACTTTGCTGTGTTTCCAAGACAATCTTTATTCGACTTAACATATTTGAATATATTCAACCATAAACTCATTTTGGTAGATCCACCAACATCCAGTGTATTTCAAATTACAGGTTCTACATTGTTTTATTGAGGCTCTGTTATATTTTGTTAAGGGCAACAGCTCTTAAAACTTTTTCAGGACCAGTTTCTTTTTTTCTAAACTTTGTGGCATAGAACTCTGGATTTTTCCACTTGAGCATTATTCAAAGCATTCTAAATGTTTGTTACAAACGATTGGGAATCCTGCAAGCCTGGCACCTAAGCCCGAGAGTGAATCATTTTGTTGTTGAAGGGAGAAGAACCCTGGCTCAAAGGGAGTGAAGCCAAAAATATGTATTAGTTCATGTAGTTGAACAATTCAGAGTTGATAAGGTTTCAGGGTATAGGTACTCAAAAGATGCCTTCAGGGCCTGTTGTTCTCTTTCCACCCATCCTGGCTCTGCTTCCTCTGTATTGATGCCATCCACAGACTGACCTTCCCTTCTTGGTTACAAGATGATTTGCAGCTGTTCCCAGGACTCCATCCTTCCAGGTTCAATACAGCCCCAAAGAATGACAGTCCTTGAGCCAGCATTCCTGGCCAAGTCCTGGGGTTCTCAGAGAAAGGCGTACCTCTAAAGCAGGGGAATGGGATGCGCTGTTTGACCTAAGACCTGATTGCCATCCAGACCACATGACCAGAGAATGGGGAGAGGATGAATCCTCAAACAAAATTTGGGTTATTTTGAAAAGATGAGAAAATGGATGATGGATGGCTAAAATAAACAAAATATCCATTACATAGGAATCTCTCTTTCATCAAAGATTTTAACATTTCCAGAAATCATGGGATAGGTCCAGCTATGAATTGCCTGAGAAAGCAATTATAAAAGGCTCCGTTATAATACCTGATGTTTGAGAAAGTAAAAAATGTTTTGTGTTTATTACCTGCTGCATTCTCTAAGCAGTATAAACGTTATTCCTGTATCTTTAGTTTGTCAAAAAGAAATACAGCTGAGATGTATAATTTCGACTGAAATACATTTCTAAAATGAACCTTTTTACCTTGATGTTTTTTCCCTTGCATTGTTAACCCTTATTTTTTATACAGGGTTGATATAAGAAATGTCCTTTGAAGAATATTTCTGTATGTATTACGAAATCACATTTAAAGACACTGTCCATTATATTATACAGGCTTTCTTTTTGCTTCTCTTTGCTAAGTCAGAACTGAAGAATCTAAGGTTTTACACTATTTACGAGCTAACAAGTTAGCCTGCCACAGCTGTACAAACACACACACCGATAGAAGACACAAGACTCCCTTGAATTAGAGACTGAGACTGTTTATTATTAACTTCAAAAGCAGCAGCCAGAGCAATATTTTGTGTCATTTCCCTAACCCCTCAGTTCCCACAGGGCAATGCAGTGAGAGCCACATGTTACCTATGCATGTAGTAAGTTGCATCACAGGAGAGGAGCCTGAAATTAGCAGACAGCTTTTTTAGGAGTGCTGACCTACTGGCCCAGCCTGAGAGAAAGGGACAGATAAATAAAGGGAGAAAAAGTAAGAAGGGTTTGAGGGAGAGAAGTAAATGTTTCTAGAGGGTTTACAGTGCCCTAAGACATGTCTTGGGAAGTACATCTCTAGATCTCCCTGGATAAATATGCTTTCTCTAGCTTCTAAAGCTGTTAGTTAGTCAACCATGTCCTTTGTTCAGAGGGCCCGATTGGTACAGGAATGAGAGACATCCACAGAGAAATGCTTCCCAGTACTCATGAAAATTCAGTGGCAGGAAAATAATCTGTTTTTCCAGTTGAATTTATGTTTCCTTTTATCCAATAAAGAGAAGTGAAACAAAACAAAACACATTTGCCATTTTGCACTGTTTCACAGGTAAATTTAGAGCTTAATTGTGATGATGTTTTCCAGGAACCTGACGTGAAAGAACCAGGTGGAGGGAGTACTTGACCTATCCAAGGTCCTTGTGCTGACTGTGACAGTCTCTATGACATCAGTTCAAAATCAACACCCATGAAATTTCTTCTCCTGTGCTCTTATTCTAATTGTCTTAGAACCCAGCTTTAATTTTTAAAATTCTTATCAATAAAATATTTCAAAATATATGAAAGGTAGTTTATCAGAAGTCCCATCCAAATGTAAATTGGTAGTAATATTTTGCAGTATAAACTTTGGATATCTCCTTTTAAAAAGAAAAATAATTAACCATGTCCTGAACCATTCCCTGTTTTTTTCTCTACCAAATGTAATCATTATTCTGAGGTTGATGTGAGCATTTGTGTGCATACTTTTACAGTTTCACTACATTTGTATACATCTATTATTCTCCATATATTTAAAATTTATATAAATGATATACTGTACGCATCCTTCTGGAACTTTCTTTTTTTACTCAACATTTTGAAATGTGTAGCTATGGTTTATTATTTTATCTTCTTTATTCTATCCCATTGTAAGAAAAAATAATCCATAGTTTATTACTGGACAGATGGCTAATTTAGTTTCCCATTTTTTTGTTTTCCAAACTGTATTTCTTTGAACACTCTTGTAATTGCCTCCTTATTCTGTGTGTGAGAGACATTCTCCAGGTATCCGTATATGTCTAAAAGAGGGATTACTGGGTCATGAGAGTTGCACATCTTCAATTTTATTAGCTGTTGTCAAAATGTTTTTCATTTTCAAAATTCAAGAATCATAGTGATTCTTGAATCTGAGGAGAATTTCTTTAGTTCTGGAATGTTCTTAGCCATTGTTTGTTCAAATATTACCTCTTATTTACTCTAATCGCTGTTTCTGGAGTATCTGTGAAACATACTTTGGACCTTTTCATTTTATTCTTTATGTCTATTTACCTTCCTCATATTTTCCTTTTACTTATCTCTTTTTTATATTTCCTGGGACATATACTCACACACTTATGTTCTTCACTTTAGTTCCTGGCACAGAGAAATTTCCTTCCTTCTTTCCTTCCTTCATTCCTTCCTCCTTCTTCCCTCCCTCCCTCTTTTTTTCTTTTTTGTAAACTCAGTCTTTTATTAGACTTTGGAGTTTGATTTTTTATGGAATTTCTAGGGGTATTTATATGGAATTTTTAGAGGGGTCCACATTAGTTCAGTCTGCCTTACTACTGGAACCAGACGTCCTTCTCTGGTATCTTTTACAAATTTTAATATAAGATGGTTACATTTCTCTCTGGAAGTAAGTGAAGTATTATTCTACCTTTTCATTTATTCAACATATATTTATTGAACATTGACATGTAAAATCACTAGGTTGGATACTAGGATTCATAGATGTCTCACTCTTGCCCTGAATGGACTGTGTGGATGATAGGCAAATAGGCAGTGTTAGTGGAGTATAGCAAGTTCATGATCAGTGTGTGCAAAGTGTACTATGGAAGCATCAACAAGAGGCATAGAATTCCACCGAATAGTCAGTGTTGACTTTCTAGAAGATAATACTGAATCTTGAGAGAGGAGATATTAGCTAGGTAAAGAATTAGGAGAATTATTCCTGGAAGTGAACATTGTAATTAAGATATTGAGGTCAGAGAGAACATAAGTTATTTAGGAAATGTAAGCAGTTCATATGGCTAGAGTGAGACAAGTGGGAACAGTCTCAGATCAGAGATCCCAGGGTCCTTGAGGGTTAGGAATGAGAAATAAGCTTTACTCAGATGATATGTATTAGCTAGGGTGGAGAATCAGAATCGCTACTAAGAGGAATTACATTATAGTGAAGATAATGGCCTGGAGAGTCAAAGAACAACAGAGTAATTAAGAGATGTGGCAGAGGTCAATGGATTGGTCTGTGAATGGAATTTTCCAGAGTACCAGTGTAGCAGAGAGATAAGTGGCATAACCTGAGGGAGCTACACCAGCCCTGGTACATACAGTGCTTGGCTGTCTTCCCATAGTGACAGAGTTTCGCTCACCCAGAGTGGATTCCAGCATGAATTCCTTCAAGGATTGTCAGGCTGCCTTTGTCAAAGTGGAGCTTTCTGGTGTGCAGAAGTTAAAAAAAATTAAAAAAAAAAAGGGAAATCTGAAATTGCCAATGCAAGGGGATATGCTTTGTAGATGCATGGAGGACATCACTTTATGTAGGAAGGTAAGCAGCCTACTTAACCTATTGGGAGGTATTAAAGATCCTGATCTTCATATGTCTGACTTGTCACTGATCTGAGAATAATTAATGATAGGAAGATACTTTTGTACATAGAGCACCTTAAATGGTTCTACCAAAACTCTGTTGGATATTATGTAGCTGGGGATGCCAGTCCGGCAGTTTACTCATTCAGGAACAGGTAATAGAGGAGCATTTTCATTAGGACACTACCTATGACTAGGATAGTATGTCAGCCCTCTAAAGTGGTCTGAGATGAAGCATATAGTAATAGTCTCCTCAAGATAATTAGAATATGAATGTTGTTACAGGAGCTCCTTGACAGTACGACTGGGCCTTTCTGATTATATACTCAGCCCTAGAGCAAGTCCTATTTATGTTAGCATATTCAAAGATATTGAGCCCAATATGAATTATCCAAAGACCCAACTGATACAAGCGACCTGAAGAGATCCGAAGGCTTGTTGTAACATGAGCATAGTTGGAGTCGGTCTTCTCCAGCTTGATAAAAGAGACTTCCATTGCACCTGTCTTCACGGCTGCTGAGTCGGGTTGGTTCTCAAACCCTTCCAGTTTATGCAGCGCTGAGATTATAGCAAGTTATCTGCTATTTCTAAAAGGGCCTCAGGAATGGAAAACTCTGGTTAGATCATTTCTCAGTGGTTTTCAACAACCCCAGCATCAGTACTTACAGAATGGTGCATCTGCTTAGCCTTATGAGCTGTCTGGATGAGTAAAGCTTACAGCTGCTCTAGGCTGCAGTGACCTAGATAATCAGCTTGAATGCTGACTTCAGCCAAGACACGTCAGCTCCCAGACATAGTTGTTGACTTTGGCAGGGCAATGCAGGGCCACAGGAGCTCTTGCTATGATAGAATCATCCTTATATATGTCACAATCCTCCTTATAATGGCATGGGAGATGACTATTTATCCTTGGTACAGGCACTGTGAAGTGGTGTAGGCCAGATACGGGCGAAAGTGAAGAAAACCCTCACTATCTACAGTGCCTATGACTTATGTGGATCCCAGTGCCCTTGTGCTCCCTTTTTCAGGAAGAAGATCAGGTATTTTTCCAAATATAATTTCTTCCTCACCCCCAGCACTTCAATGTAGACTGGGGTTTAAACTCAAACTTCACATATTTTGTGTAAAAAAATATATGTAAACCTCAAAAACATCAAGAGCTTCTACAGGTCCTGGATGGGCCTGCCATGAGGTTATCTTGGGTGGTATAATTCAAGAGCTGGGGGAAAAGGACAATTCCTAGAAAGTAGAATCCTTGGAATCTTGATGACATAACTTCTCCAGGTCGGTCAAGAGGTTGGGCCATTTGAACTTTTATAGGACCTTGTGAGTAAGAGCTTATTCAAGAACAGTGTTCCACAGCATGGTAATAGGCGTCTCTGCCTATATGAAGTCAATTAATTTTCTTTACTGTGGACTGCTAGGAGTCCTTCCTGGGTTCTTGAGTACTGTGAGTGGTTCAAGCAAAGACAGAGTCATGTAACTTTTCCAAACCTACAGGAAATACTTTCTTCTGGGCCTATTAACCAGTCATTGCTCCTTGCAACACTTACTTGTGAATCACGGAGTTAAAGTTTCTCTATTACTTCCCCTAGTATCCTTTGAACAACATAAACTAAGTTGGGCCTGGTGATCCTTTAACCTTTAAGTCATCTATAAGTGGATCTTTTTTATTTTCTAAACTGCTTATGGTTTGCTTTTTCTGTGATTTATCTCAATTTTAATGAAAATAAGATAAACAAAGATACTTCTTTTATGAGATACTTCTTTTATGAGGCAGTCAAAACTATATGACAGAGATGGAACTCAAAATTATGTCAAAGAAATTTTGTTAAAGATTGAAATGTTTTTACTGTTGAAATACCCATATAGCTGAGATGTTACTATGAGCATATAACACATCCACATATCTTATATATACATATATATTAATATTAAAAATTCAAGAAAGGAATATATGGGCATAATATTGATATCAAGATTATTTTAACTTAAATTTCAAAAAAATTAATATAAGTTTAGATAAATTTTTGTAATTGGTTGAGATGATCTAAATACAACTTTTGATTTACAAATCTCTCCTATTTATTTATTTATTATTTTTTTATTTTTTTATAAACATATAATGTATTATTAGCCCCAGGGGTACAGGTCTGTGAATCGCCAGGTTTACACACTTCACAGCACTCACCATAACATATACCCTCCCCAATGTCCATAACCCCACCACCTCTCCCTATTCCCCTCCCATCGGCAACACTCAGGTTGTTGTTGTTTTTTTTATCATATTTTGTTTTATCATATTTTTTTTGTTTTTTTTGTTTTATGATATACTATTCCTGCTTATAGCAAGCCAAAAATGAAACAGTGTGGTTTATAATATGAAAAACATGTATTGGAAGTAGGGCATGAAATTGAAAATTGGCTACTTGCCAGGAGCCACATAAATTTTGGAGGAAATGCATTTTCTATAGGAATGATTTGTTACAGGAATAGCAAGTATTTATTGAAAGCATTAAAATGGTGAAAAAGTGACCTTAGGCAATATTAGATTCATCATTCAGAAGTGTAACATATATCAGATATATAACTTATTTTGAAACTTTGAAAAATAATCAGTTTTAATTACCTCAGGTGAAGGGCAAAATGCAAAAAAAAAGATGCAGTGAAATAGAAACAGAGTAATTTCTCATGCATGCAGACGCCACTTTTATTTTTACTGTATATGGCCTACCAGTTATTGGATATGGACTTCCCACTGTGCATCCATATATTCACAAACTCATGAATCTTTTATTCTCCTAGGAGGCATTTTGTTGGGAGTATATCTGCTTTCTTTCCTAACATCTGCTCTCTACTTATCTGTTTGTCTTCTTGTAGCCTAACAGTGAGATGCAAAAGCATGCTATCAGTTTGATTCTTCTAGCAAGAGGGAAAGAGCAGCAACTGCTTTAGTTCCTGGAAACTCTTTCCAGAAGCCAGGAACTCTGGGAAATTTTCCAGACCAGCTTATGGAGAGAGTGGGCTAAAACTGCCCATCCCTATTCCCCTATCTAGGAGTCAGTAGGGCCTGAAAGACAGGAAATAAGAAGGAATGCCTCCCTGCCCTACTCCTGCCCTCCACCCTTCCCCGCCCTGCACTGCTCCCCACAACTCCATCTCTTCGCTGATTGGCTAGATAGTGTTCTTGGCTTTAGCATTCCATTAATCGCTTAAGAGAAAAGAAGGTCAATGGTGATGGGCGACTTTGTTCTTCATTCAGCAGTGGCAGCAGTAAGCAAAAACTGAATATACTGCAACAGACACTTAAAACCCAGTGCCATACAAACATTTGTTCGATAAAATGTTATGAGGCATTCTTCAGAAGCACCTTTTAAGAGGCTGTAATACGCCATTGAGTGGATATTGCTTAATTTACCTAACCATTCTGCTATCAATTGTTTCCATTTTTCAGAGTCATAAATAACTTTACACATACATATTGTTCTTTCTAGTGTGTGTGCATTTTTACTGTGCATTTACATGATTTTATTAGCTGCGGCCTGTACCTTCAGGAGTTATTGAAGCCATTGAGTGTCTTGGCACATACTTCAGAGGAGCATGGCTAACTGCCACTTCACTGCTGAATGGGAAGGGAATGTTTTTCCCAATGCCCTCCTTTCATATCCTACTCAAGGCAACAGAGGTGACCTAGAAGAGAGTATGATTCCCCTAAACTAAACATATTGTTGTTTGAGGCAGAGACACCTATTACCAGAAACTAGAAACATCTGAGAGACAAATTCATTTTTGGTGTAAACCTCTGTTTCAAAGAAGCATGCTGGATGTGAGCGCGGAGCATTTCCCGAAGCTTAATGTTCACCTAAGGTTAATGCTGGCCTTCAGCAGTCTCATGATTAACATTTCCAATCAGGTCATTAATCTGCAGGAAATGCTTTGTATTTCGATTGCTGTTTGCTTAATGAAGAAGTGAAAAATTTAGTAAAGGATGATTACATGAATTTGAACAAAGAAGAGACTGTTTTTCTAATATGCACAGTGGCACCCCCTAGTGAGCACACTTGTTAAATGTAAAAAAGTTAAAGTAATTTAGATTTTGGAAATGCAAGGTTTTTTATTGATCTTTCATAGGTTTTAATAGATCTGTCATAGCAAAACAAAGCACCTTTTTGTAAAAATAAATAAATAAATAAACCAATATATTTTCAGAATGTGAAAAAAACCGAGATAGACCCAGCAGATAATTTTCTTTAGAAAGAAATATTTAAATTCTCATTTTACAGTAATATTTTAAAATTTATCATTGTAACACTGAAAACTTTTATTGTAATTAGAAAACTCTTTTTTGTTTTCGCAGGTCAGAAGGGGTTCTTTGTTTGAAATCATTTCTTTTCCGGCAAAGACTGCTTTAACTAGCATAATATGTGCTTCATATGCAGCACTAATTTATCTGGTAAGTTAAGAAAATTACTAGAATCTAGGTATAAATGTACTTATTTCATGTAATGTTAAAGATATAGATACAAAGTAAATTCATAAGCCAAGGTACTGTTCTCTTGTTACACAAAATAATTTTACATTAGAAATTTACTTTTCTAAAAAAATTACTTTTCTGAGGTACACTCAATCCATTTCTGAGGCAAGTCAATCCATCAAAACCAAATTTACTTGAATAAAATTATTTTTGTAAAGTTTGTTATTATTTGGTCAAAACATTTTGGTTTTATTTTCATAGATATGGTTGTTTTGTTTAAGCCATTGTGCCATGGTTGGCTGAAGTTCAGTATTCCATCATTTAAGTCTATGATATTGGGGAACACAAATATTAGTGTATTTTGAATTATAAGTTCTGTAATTCAAAAGTGTTCATTACAAAGTATGACAGAAGGAGCACCTGGGTGGCTCAGTTGGTTAAGCATCCAACTCTTGATTTCAGCTCAGGTCATGATCTTTATCCACATAAAGGCTCTGCACCCAGTGTGGAGCCTGCTTGGGATTCTCTCACTCTCCCTTTACTTTTCCACCGCCTTTCACAAACGTACTTTCTATCTCTCTCAAAATTAAAATAAAATAAAATAAAATAAAAACAAAGTGTGGTAAAAATATAAAGGATTTTATAAATTATAAGGGGTTATTTTCTTTTACTCCATTGCTATTTATACTTACCTCTCAATTTTTTTTCAAAAAAGTATAATACAGAGAGAAAAGTACACAGCTTGATGAATTATCACAAAATCTATTTTTCACACACATCAAGAAAAAAAATGTAACCATGATTCTAGAAACCTCTTTCTCACTTCTTTCACAATCATGAACCTCATCTATAAAGGGCAACCACTATTTTGACTTCAAATACCATAGACAGTTTAAATTGTATATAAATTAAATAATATACTATATATTCTTTTGTATTTGTCTTTTTTTGCTCACTTGCCATTAATGAGATTCATTCATCGCCTACATCAATAGTTTGTTGGTTTTCATTGCTGTGTAGAATTTCATTGATTGAATGCATAAATAATTCAATATATATCCTATATATATGTTACTATCCACACTATGGTTGAAATTTTATATTATTTACAGTTTTGGCAACTGTGAATATGCTTTCTATGAATATTCTTGTACATATGTTTTAGTAATATTTCTGGACCACAGCATATGTAGGTATTCATCTCTAGTAGATACTGCCCAATAGCTGCTATTGTCTGTCTTTTCCATTTTAGCCATTCTTGTGAGTATGTAGTATTATCACATTGTGCTTGAATTTACATTTCCTTGATTATTAATCAGACTGAGTTCCTTTTATGCATTAAGCAGACATTGGGATCTTTTGTGAATTTCTGTTAAAGTCTCTTCTGTTTTTCTATTCTATCTTTTTTATTATTGATTTCTACTTTTAAAATATACTCTAGGCATAAACCCTCTTTTGGTTATTTCTTTTATTCTGTGATTTTCTTTTGCCCTTTTAGCAGTATCTTTAAACCAGACATTTTTAGTTTTAATGTTGTCCAATGTATTAATCTTTTCTTTATGTTAGGTGCTTTTTATATCTTAATTAGGGCAGCTTGACCTATATCCAAGGTCATGAAATGGTTCCCTCTGATATATTGTAGGAGGTTTATTATTTTACCTTTCGCTTTTATAATTCGCCTGGAATTGCTATGAAGTAAGGAACAAATTTTTCCTCCATGGGTATTCCATTGATCCAACTCACTTTGCTGGGGAGAAAATACTTTTCCAATTGCCCCAGAACATTTATTTTGTCTAAATCAAGTGTGTTTTTATGTGTAGGTCTGTTTATTGACCCTCTGTTATATTCAATTAATCTATTTTTCTATTTTTACACTGATTCAACATTGTATTATTTACAAGAGCTTTATAAGTCTTGATAAGTAGTAGAATAAGTCCACCCTTCAATTCATGAGCATGGTATATCCCTCTATTTATTTAGGTCCTCATTAATTTTTCTTAATAATTCTTACAGCTTTTTTGTTAGCTGGTCTTACACAGTTTTGTTAATTTTTAAAATCATATTGAGATACACAATAATAAAGATTCTTTTTACCATTATTTATAGATTGGTTATGGTCCCAATTAAAATATGAGCAGGTGTGTAAGTTGACTAATTTATTTTAAGATTTACAGGGAAGTGAAAAAGGTCAAGAATAGCTAAGACATCCTTGAAAAAAAAGTAAAGGAACTTACTTTTATAAACATAGCAATAGTTTTTTAAAGAGCCAAACTTATATTTTGCAAGTGTTTAAAATTTTTGAGACGTGTTCAATATCTTAAATGTGAATCTCATACAAAAATGACATCCAACTGATCTTGGATGCAAAATGCTGCAAAAAAAAAAATGGGTGGGATGAAATAGCTGTGATGAAACTAAAACAAATAAGACTAAAACCAAAATTAAACTAATTTCTTGAAGGCATTTGAAATTATCCCACATGACTTGTCATTCTATAAATTTTCTAAGTAGGTATTAGAAACAGTTTTTTGGTGACCTGATAATTGGTCATGTATGCACCCAAGGTCTAGGAGAGGTCAGGGCTGGAATTATGATTTCGAAAGCAAATAATTATATGTTGGAAGTTAACGTCCTGTGAGTGGAACCATTGTGGAAAGAGTGAAAAGTCTGGAAGTGAGAAGAGTGGAAAATCAATGAGAATGTAAAAGACAGCAACATTTAAGGTGAGCTAAGAAGAAATCCTAAGAAATCTAAGAAGAAATATAAGAAGAAAGAAGTAGGAAGAAAATCAGGAGACAAAATATCAAGGAAATAGAGACTTGGGAAGTTTTGAGCAGTTAAATGTCAATTACCAGGAGAAAAAAATCAAGTAAAATAAAAGATTTGAAAAGTGTTCATTAGATCTAGTAGTAAAGATGTTGGAGTCAACCATCTCATAACTATCTCAGTGGTGTGATAGAATAAGGAAGACAGAAATATGCAGGTTTCAGTGAAGAGGAGATGATAATATCAAAGCCATGAATATAAACCCTGGTTTGATCAAGAAAAGCAAGCATATGTAGCAGTCAAAGAGAGAAACAGGGTTCCAGGGACTTTTATTTTAAGATGGGAGATACTTGAACACATAAGTTTCAGGGCAAGAAGCAGTCAAGAAGGAGAGGCTGAAAAGGCAGGGAATAATTGGTAGAGAAGAGGTAGGGTATAGATTACAAATAGACACAGAGACACTGACTTCAGTCAAGACATTTTATTTTCTGTGACTGAGGTAGAAGTGGTTAGAATGGACACAGATAAAATTTTGTAGGTGAGGGAAGAAGAAATATATCAAATAGGACAGGGCTTCCTGATCTGTTTTTGGGGGGAGGGGAAGGGAGAGAGAGAGAGAGCATGTACAGGATCAGGCAAGCTGGGGAGGGGCAGAGGGAGAGGGAGAGGGAGAGGGAGAGAGAGAATCTTAAGCAGGTTCCATACCCTGCATAGATCCTGCCACAGGGAACTCGATCTCATGATCCCGAGATCATGACCTAAGCCAAAATCAAGAGTCAGATGCTTAATGGACTGAGCTACCCAGGTGCTCCCCTAATCTTTTTTCACAACACGGCATACATAAAAAATGACCCAACTGGGGGATAAACGGATGAAGCTGTTTGCAGCTGGAAGTGATGGACCTCAAGATTTATAGCTCTAGGTTGGGATACACTTGGATGCAAGTAACAAAAAATAGCTGGCAGTGCCTTAACTGATGAAGACATTTATTTTTTAAAGATTTTTTTTTTAATTTATTTGACAGATCACAAATAGGCAGAGAGGCAGGCAGAGAGAGACAGGAGGAGGAGGCAGGCTTCCTGCTGAGCAGAGAGCCCGATGCGGGGCTCTGGACCCAGGACCAGGACCCAGGACCCTGAGATCCCAGGATCCTGAGATCATGACCTGAGCCGAAGGCAGAGGCTTTAACCACTGAGCCACCCAGGTGCCCCAACTGATGAAGACATTTAAAAATCTCACTTAATCAGAAGTCTAGAGTTAGGTGGTTCCCAGGTTTGCACAGTGGGTCTACAATGTCATCTAAATCCAGGACCTTCCCACCTTCCTCCTATGCTATCTTGTTTATTGTTTTGGTCCTTAGGTTTGCTGCCTCATGCTCAGGCATCCTATCTATATCAGAGTTCAAAGCAGGGAGGAGGGGATAGTTATTGAGGCAAAAGACAAAAGAATCTTTCTTTTCATGTAGGAGAAAAACTTTCAAAAATCCCTCCTGACCTCCTCCCTGGCAGATATATTTTATTTTGTTGGCTAAAACAGTGTCACATGACCATGTACTAACTGTAGGGAAGTGAAGGAAAGCATCTGGTATTCCCTCATTCTATAGTGCAGTGCAGGCCAGGAAAAAGAGGAGGCAGGAGATCAGGAAGAAACTGAGGCCCTCAATCCTTTCTCTATTACCTTCTTTAGGAAAACCTTCTAAGAGTTTATAGCCTATTATGTGAGCTTTACGCATTGCTTTGTTAAGATAAGCTAGTTTAGGTCTTCTTATATTTTATGGATTGTATTATTCTTGTTGCTTGCCTTAAATAGCATCATCATCGTCTTCATCATTACAGTTCTTAGTGATTCCCAATTTTCAGTTATATTTCTCTGTGTGTTTTGTTTTGACACTCAAAGTACTGACTGGCATTTTTTGAGGGAAAATGGATCATGTGCTTGCTTAGAAATCATTGATCAACTAGCTTACTAAATTCTACCTAATGTGTTTACGCCCCTTCAATTGTACACATAGGTATAAGCAAAGTGTAGGGGGAGAAAGTAAAAACTAGAAGCCAACTTTGAGATATTAACACATTTGGGGACAAATTCAATCTCCCAGAAAGTGTTTCATTTAATTCAGGAGAAGAAAGGAGTCTCATTTAATTAAATCAGAGAGTAAAGATATAAAACATTTAATGAATTGGGTCGAAAAGAGCAAAGCATGTATTTATTGAAGCATACTATGCTTTAATTTTCTTTCTAGATGGTGTTGTAATATATTTAGAACAAGGAATCAACCTCCTGATGTTTATCATATGCCAGGAAAGGAAGTGCTTCTTTATTAGAATAAGTAGATTAATGACTTTATGTTACACATTTTATTGGACTTATTATTGGAAGTTCAGTCGCTTAAAAAGAAACTTTTCAAAATTTTTTTTTTTATTTTTAGACCATCTGTGTTAATGCTGTGTTGGAGAAGGTAAAGAAAATTTTCCAAGAAGAAGAATCCATAAGGCAAAAGAGAGAAGAGAGTGAAAATCTTAGAAAAGCCTTTTCTGAGCCTGTGCTTTCTGAGCCTGCCTTTCCTGAAGGTGAAATCAAAGCAAAACCTTACAGGTCATTACCGGAGAAACCAGACAATATTGCAGATCGCCCCAAACTTCCTGCTAATAAGTTGAATAATAAGATCCAGGTTTTACATTCTGTGTTTGACCAATCAGCTGAAATGAATGAATGAGCAAATTGGAACATAAGTATTACTGAGTGGAGCTTGAGAGTTATTATCTAATCGCATTTCATCTCACAAAACCAGGAAACTAGTTTTCATATATTGACTGCTCTGCTTTAAAATGTCACAAGTATTTATATGATAGAGAAAATAAAGTGAATCTTGATGTAAAAGTATGACTATGATATTTTTTTAATGAACAAGAAAGTGTACCCTTTGGAGGGTTAGACTTTATGCTATCATTTATAACATGGGCATATTTATAATACATTTATGTTTTTATTAAAACCTATTTCAAGTACCTTTCCATTATAGTTGGCCCTTGAACATGGGTTTGAATAGTGCAGATCCACTTATACGCAGATCTTTTTTGATAAATGAATTATAGTACTGGAAATGTATATTCACTTGCTTATGATTTTACATAGAACATTCAAAATATGTGTTAATCAACTGTGTATATAATCAAGTCAGGCTTCCAGTCAACAGTAGACTATTAGTAGTTAAGTTTTGGGGGAGCCCAAAGTTATATGTGGATTTCCAACTGTGAGTGGGGTTGGCATCCCACCCCCCTGCAATGTTCAAGGGTCAACTGTATTCATCTGGGGGGAAAGTACCTCCATATCAAAATGCTACATATCTTTTTCAGAGATAATAAAAGGATATTTATTTTCTATCAACAGGCTGTATAGTTTGAATCTGCCTTTTATCGATCCTTTTTTAAACTCATCTATAAAGTTATGAAGGACTTGTAATTCACAGACATAATACATTTTAAAACAAAATATTATTTACAAATCTTATAAGAGAGTTCTGTAAGTGAGGGTAGGATATGACATGACATTTTTTATTTCCAGATCTGAAGGAACACATTTAGAACCAGAAATCAAGTCCATATTCCTCATTATTGCCACTGTGTCCTGAGAGAAAATGCTTCTGTAACTGGCCAGCAAATGAGGGCCATTGTTTTGCCTGCAGAAGGCAGGCAAGAAACTTTGGTTTCTTCCACATGTCTTAAATTCTGGACACGTGTTAAGGCCTGACTGGTCATTGGAATGTTAGCCCCTGAGATAATTGGCTAGGATTTACCCATCGAGTGATGGTACATTTCCTGTACCAGGTAAATAGCTACTGCCAGAAAAGTATTTATAAAAATCAAACCTTGGATTTTCAGTAGTCTGAGAAATGAGTAACAAGTGTATCACTTCATGTTACCCATATTCCATCAGAAAAGGTAATGTAATAATGTGTAGCAAAGGTCTCGTAAGCAGACCCTTAATGATAGGTACTTAATTCATTTATTATTTATACAATAACCAAGGAAAAGAGTCCAGGTGGTCCCCCTAGAATGTTCAGTATTAGGTTTGGGGCTTTAATTAAAACCTAGGCCATTAAGAAGATTACTGTGCTTAGAGACAAAGTTCCAATTTTGACAGTTTTTTGCACTCTGAATTCATAATGTGATCATCTGGTTCTGATTCTACTTCTTATTTTCTACTATTTGCTGCCAAGTTTTAGATGGTGAGCACCCAGAGTGTTACAGTACGGTGTGGGCACCAGGCAACCAGAATAGTGCTGTTCGTAAATAACAGGCCTGTGAAAGCAGGGTGGGCCGACTTCACATCCACCCTGCCTGTGAACTCAGCAGGAAGGACTGAGGAACAACACCCTCTATCTCTTCTCTGTAACAGTTACATAAAACACTTAGTTCTACACACATCACAACATTCTCAAAAACAAAGCAAAACAAAAACAAACCTTTGCTTGAAAATTTCACATGGGACATTCAAAGCACATTGGCTCACTGTGTAAGAGACTTCACATCTCTCATGGCTGGACAGCAGCTCTGTGTGTCTTCCTTGCTTGTGAGAGTGTTTGCTTTGGCCTGAGAGAAACTGAGCCAAGATTTATTTGGTTTCAATGTGCAGTACAGGAAGATTAAGGAGTGCACTTGTGGTGAGCACCAGGTGTTCTATGGAAATGTCGAATAAGTGTCTTATTTTTAAAAGAAGCATTGTAAATTGATCCCATTTTGAAGGCAGCATTTTAAGTGTCAAAAGTCTGCTATATATTTGGAAAAACTGAATAATTGAGATTGAAGCATTTCAGTGTATTTAAATTTTACCTTTAAAAAGTAAGAATAACAACCAAATGGGGCAGAGGTGGAGAGTGTGTCCAGCCAGTGAAACAAGAATACGAGAATAGAAGAATGGAAGAATACTGATGATTGTTGAAGTGGGTGATGAAAGTTTATTATGCTACTCTGTTTAGTTTGTGTATATTAAAACTTTTGCATGATAAAGTCTGCTACATCAAAATAGGGATTACCCCCATATTTCTTAATAAATTTAATTTTCTACCTTTTCTTCATTGTGGTTATTGCAAATATTTCCACCCTTCTTAAAATGTACATTCCAAACCTATAGCCTTCAGGTTCCAGTCAATCCAGAGGACTGGATGAAATGTATTTTATATATCCTGATAATCCTTACATCACAGTAAATATGTATAATTTTGAACTGTTCAGCTTTATATGATTTTTAAAGATAAGTAATAAATGTGCCTATGTTGGAAAAATTAATACTCTTTGGTATTGAAGTATGATTATTCTAATACATTCAAAACATACACAACATTTTTCATTGCCATATAGTTTTATCAGAAAGAACTCCGAATAACTTTGAAGTTTCCAGTGGCATAAAAATCAGAGTCACACTTAAAAGGTTCATTAGAAAGAGTCACATAAATATTCCCATTGTCCACTGTCACTGTATGAATCCTTTGCTTTACTCCTTTGGAGCACCACTTGGGTTTTGCTGATGGATCTCTAGGGTTTATAGACTGATATAGTCCTTCTCCTGTTGCCAAAGTAATTTTGTATTTATGCCAGGGGCAAACTATACATGGTCGTCCATCAAAATCCTGGGGAAGAAAATAAATGATTTAATAGTCTGACATTTCCAACATTCACAATAAATCTCAGGCTCAGAACAGATTCTATTGCAGAAAAGCCAGGTTAAAGAATAGGCCAGTTTCTCTTTTTTCCTTCCATTTACAAATTATTCAGCATAAGGTGGAACCTAATCTTAGCAGTCATCAAGTTCCTGCTGCATTTGATTAGAAACGCAGCCTGTTAGAACTTTATCAGGAAATGAGCTTGGGCAACTGTACCATGTGATTTAAGCTATGATGTTATCTATTAGATGTTAATGTCATTTCCGTGACAGAAATGGGGCAAGGGCATCAAGTGTTTCTAAAGGAACTTTCACTAGCTGCTGGAAGAATGGTAAGTTTCAAATATAAAGAGTTACTAAAGGCATGAGTGTATATGTTAACTGAAGAGCAATTTGTAATCCAAAGTAGTCAATTCCCAACTTTTTAACGGCCTTAAATTGGTGCTTCTCAAATTTTAAAGAGCATGGGAATCACCTGGATCTTGTTTAAATGCAGATCTTGCTTAAATTCAGTAGTCCTAAGGTAGGGCACAAGATTATGTATTTCTAAGAAGCTCCCAGGTGACATCGATGTTGCTGGTCTGTGGCCCACACTTTAAGTACAAAGTCTTATAGGTCTCATTATGGTTGAAAACTGAAGGAAATTCTTTCACATTATGATCACTAGGTGTTTACATTTTGTTTCAGTTTGTATTTTGTACCAGTGGTGGCGGGGGGGGGGGGGCGCGGGGCGCTGGTGACAGGAAGGAGAGGGATATAGCATTCAGTTTTATGAAGTAGAAAACAAGAAATAAGGCAGCTAGCTAGTTTTGGAAAGCAAGGAAGTAAGTTCCCTATTCCTTCCTGAAATAAGCATTCAATGTGTGGTTTCCTTTTTAAAATATACAAATTTATATTTTTACTACATTATTCACGTAATATATACTCACTGACAACAAACTGTGTAGAAATGTATAAAGTAACAAAGTGAATATTTTTTATTTTAAAAGTGGGATCTCATTAGACCTATCATCCCATGACTTGCTTTTTTTACTCAAAAATATATTGCTGACATCCCTCCATACCAACACATACAGATCTGCCTCACAAATTAATGAGGCAGTGGTTACATAGTTTTCCATAGCATGGCTATGGCTATTCAGTTTATTTAAACGGTTTCCTATTGTTAAAACATTTAGGTGGCCTTCAATTTTTCATTGCAACAAATAATGCCACAGTAAACCTCTCCCATATATATACTTGAACATTTGTGCAATGGCATCTGTAGGATAGATATCTCAGAGTATAATTGCTAGATCGGAAGCCATGCATACTTCCTCTATTCATCTGTGAAATAGTTTTCTTTACATTGTAGGACTGTGAATTCCTGGAATACCAGCAATATACTCAAAGCATTAAAATACAGTTCAAACCCAAATATAAATGATTTTTGCATACAGAATGAAATATAGACTATAAAAAGAAACATGAATTTGTAGGGGATAGACTTAATTTTACATACCTCTATATCTCCCAAATGTAAAGGTCCTCCTGAGTCTGAAAAGAAATTAAATATTATATCTAGTCACTAAAAAAAAAAATAAAAAAAGCCTGAAATTTTGATAGTTGTGTGGTTAGCAAACAAATATACAAGGTTTACAAATGAAAAATCAACTCTTACGGTAACAGCGAATATCCATAGCATGATACTCTCCTTTGTGGTAGAAAATGACCACTTCTCTATCATGCACAACAGCTGTCATTCTTTCAGATTTTTTAATGTCCTCTTCTCTGCCAACATAGACAGAAGAATATTCCTTCATTTCGGGATCTTGTTCAGAGCCATCAACATCCATGCTAGTTGAACAAAAGAAAAAAGAAAAAACAAGTAGTCTTCACAAATTTGGCTACAACTTAACTCACAGAGATATTTTTTATATATATATATACACACACACATATGTATATTTATATAAATATATAATATACAAATATATAAAATACATAATATACAAATATATAAATATACATATTTATATATATATATAAATATACATATTTATATATATATATTTAGATCTCTAAGATTGATAAAGGCTTTTTTATAGCTATATAAAATAAAATATTCATAAATACTGGGTTATAGTTAGTCATGATTTTGAGTTAGAGACTCTTAAAGCTTGTCCAAGTTAGGGAAGACTCCCCATTTTGAGGCTGGACTCAAATTCATTTCATTGTGTAAAATGGATATTTCAGAAGTCCCAAGACCCAGAGACTGAAGTTTCACTGTTCTTTTATTTCCCATCATTTCAGTGCTATACAACACCCAGTTATCAGTGTTATTTTCAGCCTTCTCCTAAAGGTAGGATTCTTTGACAGTCTGAATAGTCTTGTATCTCCTGGTTGAGGTGACTCATTTGATTTTGCCTGGATCTGTCTTAGAAATCAACCAGATAACTATTCCAGTACAAGAGGAGAGGTATGTATGGGCGCATTTCATTTTCTTAACTCAGAAATTAACATCACTTTCTTCTGCCTTATTTGGGAATTCAAAGAGATGGCTTTCTCTTCAATTAATTTATGTAAGTATATAAACCCATATTTCTAAACAAAGAAGTCTTCGTGGAGAATTTTCAGGTACTCTAAATATATTTTTTTATCAGCACAGATATTCAGGCTACTTTTTTGAAAGCAACTGTTTCAAAGAGACCTTATATAATACTTTAAGAACATGGTCATGGTCTGTTAATTCCTGTGAGAAGGAAACATCAAGATACATCAGTGTCAGGACTGTCGGGCCTTGTAGAGGATTTTCCTGAGGGCCTTCCATTTGGGGGTTTTTGTTTTATGCTAGGACAGTTTCTGAATAAAATTATACATCCTGTTTTGGCAAGAACTGCTATATTTTTTCGTACTCCACTCCTAATTCCAACTCTTTCTTCTTATCCCCACCCTCTTTCCATTAGAGTTAATCCCAAATTTTCTGGAAACATTCCTGCTTTTCCTCCCTATCTCGGGGTAGAGACTGTGGTGGTCTATAACTTCCAGAAAGTGCAAAGAACGTTGTATATTATTATTTTAGGGTTGGCAAGAACCTTCTTCCCTAGGCGAGAGCACATTTTCAATCTTTGCATGTAGTGAAATAAAAATCACAAGACACAAACTGAGATTACTCAACTGACTTTATTTTTAAAGTAATTAAATTTTCAGATATCCCTGCATGGTTTCTGCCCTCTGCTGGAGAGTAGGGATCTTCAACCATCTGGATAATACCCAGCTTCACAACAGGCATTAGGCAAGTTCACTCCCCGATATGAGTGGACAGGAAAGAGGCTGCCTGCAGCATTTGGGCATGAGATCTTATGTGTACCTTGACCATTATCTTGGAGCAGCACTACTTCAATTATATGAAAGAAATTATATGAAAAAAATTATATGAAAGAAATTAAAAGTTCACGGTAACATCTAATCACAAGATACTTTTTTTCTTTGGTCACTGATGGACAAGTTTCTCTGTAATCTATTTAGGGAGGAATATATGTCTAAAAAGCAAACAAAATTCTCAAGAAGTAACTACTGACAATAATCTTTAGCACAGAATTACAGAATTTCAAAAGAAAAATTTCAACAATAGATCTTCAAATTCTCCTTTTGCCAAGTTCTCTTGTTGGAGATTATCATTCGTTGAATAAGTATTTTCTGAACACATGTTATGTGACTGGCACTTCAGGGAAGTAAATCAGATCAGGTCTCTGTCCTTTAGATATTATATTCTAGTTGGTGAGATCAACAACAAACGCCAGTAAACAAATACGCAAATGAGGTAATTATACACTACCTTAAAAGCCATGAAGAAAATGAACTGGGCAATATGAGAGAGAAAAGGGAGGCCATTTTGCAAAGAAAAGCCTGGGAAGGTGACTTTGGATGGATAGTTGAGCTGGAATCTAAAAATGCAAATGAACTAGACATTTTAAGAGCTGAAGGAAGAGCATTCCAGGCTGAAGGAATAACAAATATGAAAGCCTGAGGAAAGAGGGGGGTGGAGGGAGGAGACTTGGTTAATTTGAGGAACAGATAGGAGACTGGAGCACAACGAGTGAGTCTGGTTAGACAGAAGCCAGGTCATGCCTCACTGTGTATGATTTTACTCTAAGAGCAATGGGAAGGCACTGAAGGGTGTAAAGCAGGGAAGGGTGACATGATCTATTTTTAAAATAATGCCCTCACTGTGTGAATAGATTGTAGCAAAATAAGAAGGAAACACAGAAATCAGAAAGCTATTGCAGTGGTCCATTTTAACAAGTGTATTAATTTATGGATTTCATCAGATTGGGAAACTAGAGAAAGTTCCAGATAACTTGAGAGGCATCCAACTCTGCCTTACACAAGATAAGGAATTACATATAGAAAAGGAAAAGGAAATGAATCCAAGTGATGGCCCATGATAGTTGTAGAGACCCAGATGGTGTTAAACATCAGGAAGGTTGCCATGGAATGTCCATGATATTAAACAAAATACAACTGTCTATAATTTAAGATATTTAACAAAATGATAAATCACATGTCAACTTCAAATATTCTAATTTTGAAAGATGATCCTTCCAAATCCATGTTCTCTTCAAATATGGTAATATTGTCATATTCACAGGAAGTTGTACAGAATGACGATATACATTTTGTTAATAACAGGGAACTACTTTTTAAATTTCACTCGTCTTAGTTTAACATTTCACATAAAAACATATATATGCAACTTCTTTAAAAGGGGCACTTGGACCTTGATGAACCTAGCTTAGAACAGTTATAAACCATAGACTCAATCCCTACCCCACAGCAAGAGGGAAAATTTGCTATGTGGCAAGACCAAGAGTCTCCAGGCCTTCTGATGGCTTCTCTAAATATTTAATCTTCTATGACTGATTGGAAGTCTAGAAATATTGGGAGGAAAAGAGCATGGATCATTTAAAAAATAAATTTGTAAAATAGAAATTACTATTTATAAGTAAAAATCTCTATGTGAATGTGTTAGGAGTGAGCTTTTGAAAGAAGGAATTTATAGGCTACAATTTTGAGAAGGGTAATTCTGAGCCATAACAAAGACAGGTATTAGATCTTACAATATAAGCCTGGGCTCCAAAACTGAAGTGTAGCAAGTGGCGTGTGTGTGTGTGTGTGTGTGTGTGTGTGTGTGTGTGTTGATGGGGAGAGGCAGGAAGGAACTTTGAATTCAAGGTATAAAGGAAAGCATTACACAAACCAAGTTTAGGAAATTACAGAGATGTCAAATTTGTACTCTGGAGTTTGCACTGTTAACTCTTGCTCTAACTAACCTAGTTACTTTTTAAATTATGGAAAAAAGAACATGATATTAAAAAAAACTTTCACATAAGTAAGTCAAACTGAGAAAGACAAACAATATGTGATTTCAGTCAAATGAATAAACAAAGTAATAAAAGGCAGAATCATACCTGTAAATACAGAGAACTGATGGCTGCCAAAGGGAAGGAAGTGGTGGGGGGGGGAGTGGCAAATCCGTAAAGGGGAGTGGGAGATATGGGCTTCCAGTTACAGAATGAATAAGTCAAGAGAATAAGACACAGCAAAGGGAATACAGTCAGTAACATTGTAATAGGTTGTATGGTGACAGATGGTAGCTACACTTGTGGTGAGCATAGCATAAAGTATAGAGAAGTTGAATCACTATGTTTTACACCCAAAACTTATAAAACATCATGTGTCAACTATACTCAAACAAAAAAGTTAAAAATTAGTTTACAATGAAAAACAAAAATACAGTATTTTTACGAAAAGTCAATGAGGACCATGCCATGATTTTCTGGATTAGCTATGGCTGACAGAAGGCTGCATTACTATAACTCTAAACAGTTATCTTGTTTTGCTTCGTACTGGCAGGTACGAAAGTATACAAATGGCTCAGGTGGAAGTATTTACCTCCACAGTATTGGGTGTGCAGCTTTTATAACATTTTGTGACAGGACAGATAGAGGAACAGTAAAGACAAAAAAAAATGGGAACAGATGAACTGAAATAAGCTGAAAAAAAAAAAACAAAATTTGCAACACGTATAACCAACAAAGGATTATGATTCAGAATAGATGAAGAAATTCTATAAACCAGTAAGAAAGTGCAAAAAAAAATGGGCAAAAGAGACAAACATTTCATAGATGAAGAAGTCTGAATGGCCAGTGATCACACGTAAAGATGCTCAACCTCATCAGTAGGAAAAAATACAAGAAATGCAAGGCAAAGTCACAAATGGGATACTATTTTCTATTCAGTTGACTGGCAAAAATTATACCAAGTATTGGTGAAGATATGGAGAAATTGGTAGTGATGACATCAATTAGCAATACCACAATTTGGCATTACCTAGACTCTTCTAACATATCCATGACCCATTAATCCCCCATTAAGTATATTCCAGAGAAACATGCACAGGTACACCAGGAGACATGCACAAGACAAGCAAAACACAGGAAAAAAACTCAAAATGCATCAACCGTAGAATGTAGAATTTTTATGTTCATTCAGTGGAATGCTACATAGTAGTAAAAAAAATGGGTATATCAAGTTGGATTAATTTCAAAAATATAACTTTAAAGGAAAATTTTTTTTCAAGAATTCAGAGTATGCTTCTATTTTACCAAGTGCAAAAACAGGCAAAACAAAAACAATCTATAATGGATATGTACAGATAAAGTAAATTTATAAAGAAAAGCAAGGTGATAGTAAACACAAAATTTCTTAATGTCTCAAAATATCACACTTAGTCTTATATTTAAAATTACTCTTTTAATATTTAAGTTGTATCCTATATTTGTGTAGCAAATGATCCAAAAACCAAGAAAATGTGTCTGTGGACTTAGGTCATGAGGGGACTATTTGAGAATTTATTCAGCTTATTTAAAAAGTTGGCACTAGAAGAGGAAATAAATGAATATTTTCTTTTTCTAGGCCAAAAAATTAGAAAATACTAGTATCAAGCAAGTAACAAAATACATGAGATGTGGAATAGCATCAAAAGTTAATTAAGTTCTCCCCCACTTACAAATAAATGAGAACAAAATACAATCCTTCAAATTTCAGTCTCTTTAAACTGAGTTTCAGCAGGTTTTGCACCCCAAGCAAGGAAAACTGCAGTGAACTTTGCAGGGGCTGATAAGAAAAGAGCAGAGAACGCTGCACTCAATGATAAAGGTTTCAGAGAACTATGATTAGAGTCTTGCATTTTGCTTAGGAAAATATTATCATATCTCTCAAATAATGGTCATATTTACTTATGATATCTGGTAATATTTATAATTAACACCCACATTATACTTAATTAAATATTGTGAATATCACGGTCCATTCAGACAGTAACAAAAGTCAATTTATTGTATTGTATGTATGTATTGTAATTACTATTACTTTGATGCACTATTCAGATGCACCCACACATTTCCTTTATTTTGAGTCAACTTTAAGATATCAAATCTTAAAAATAAAAAGAAGGTGAAAAGTTAACTGATCTATACAGTTTGGGGCTAGATGAAGAAAAGTTACTTCTGAAAAATTTAGCCATTTTGCTCGATTTTCCTCTTAATGTTTTTTGGCCTATGCCTCAAATAGGTTTCTAAAGGTGCTAACACCATATAAAATTACAGTTTAGCTAAATGGATCATCAATCTCTATCAGATACATTTCCAGCACAGGTTGAATTAAAAAAAAAAAAAGTTTCCATAAACCATTGGAAACAAGAGAGACATGAAAATAGGAACTTACTTGTTAGTCCTCTTGAGCTCCGACAAAGGCACTTTTACTAAGTCTGGGGCCTTGGTCTACACATTATCAGAAAGCATAACTCTGGGGTGACACCCTTGCTTTTAGTTCAAAGAAAAGAAATGCCTTAGATATCTCTTTGGATGGCAGAATAATAGTAGATAAAACTATCCTTCAGTGAGTGCCAAGCTCTTGGACTGTTTGCAGACCTGAGTTCACTAATCCTCACAAAACCTCCAAGGGGTAAATAGTATATTTATTTTCCAGATGAGTAAACTAGGGGTAAAGGATCCTTTTTAACGAAAAGTTTCCTAAAACCACCAAGTAGCAGTCAAGATTCAAACCTCTATCTTCTGAGTCGCAATTTGGTGAATATTGGTAAAATCTTAACATTTCATCCAAGTAGCACCCACAGGTTTATAAAAACACCTTGCCTGCAAATAAACTGCCCTAAAAGTACAAAACCTTTTAGCAAAATAAAGATATCTGTGAACGTATATATGTATATGTGTATCACCAAACATCGTTCTGAATTTTTTTTAATTAGGAATGCTAAGGTGCAAGTAGTTGCGTCACCAGATGTTTAAAACCGAATAGTTCCCTAATCATTTAATAAAGTCACGTAGCTGCTCTGGGGTCCGCTACCATGTCCCTGCTATTAGAGATCTGTGATCACAGGTGAGTTCCTATGGGTTTGAATCCTTGCTGTGTGTGAATTGGGGCAAGTTGCTTAACTTCACCGCGCTGCAGTTGCACGTAAAAAACGGTCTGCCACATAGAGCTACGGTGGGGAGCACACGCTTCACTATAAATCAAGTGTTTTAGAGCAGGACCGCCCGCGGGAAACGCTCCAATCATGTCAGCTGTCATCTCTAAGGTCCTTCCAGCTCTGACAATTTATCAACGCATAGCTTCAAGCTGCATTAAACACTTGAGTAAAGACGGTTACAGGGAGAGGCGCCCAGGAACCAGAGGCACCGTCTACATGTGGCTGTCCTGATGCGGTGGACTGTCCCACCTACAGACTTCGGGAGACGAGTCTCTAGGACGGCCGGAGCTGCAAATACCCCTGGGCAGGTTTAGCGCGCACCAATGCCAGGAAAGCTAATTTAAAAAAACAAAACACAAAACACAAAAAACGCCCCTCCTGCCTCATCCAGGAGGCGAGTCCCGCGTGGGCCCAGACTCCAAGGTGAACAAGCTCGGCAGGCCTCTGGGCGGAAGGGGCCTGGAGGTTAACGGTTAAGGAACGCGTGCCCCTCCTGAGAAAGGCCGGGAGCAAGGGCCAACGACATGCCCCTCGACCGCTCCCAGCCGCCGCCACCGGAAACCCGAGCTCCGGCCGGCCGCCCAGGCGGAAGCAGCGGCGCTCGCGAGCACCGCCCAACCCCGCGCGAGAACAGAACTTACCTTCCTCCAGTTCCTCGCTCCGCCTCCGCGAGACCAGCCAGCCGCGGAGCCCGCGTGACCCTACAGCGCCTGCCAGGGTTCTGAGCACCGTGCTGAGCCTCCGCGGGGCGGAGCGAGGTCGCCCACGTGACCCGAGAGCGCCCGGCCCCGGAGACTGCAGGCGTATGACCTCCACTCTCCCCACCCCGTGAACCGTGTTCCGCTGCGACCTCCGCACTGATAGTCGTGAAAGTGTGCTGACAAAACGTAGGTGGCATCTATTTATTTTGGAATGTTTGTTACTGTCACTACATTTATCCACATTTTATTTTAAGTTTATTTGCTTATTTAAGCAATCTCTACACTCAGCCTGGGGCTAGAGGTCGAGTCTCAGGCTCTTCCAACGGAGCTAGCCAGGTCCCCGCCACGTACACATTTTAAATGCGCCCACCAATCTCACTCTCAGAAATGTACCTAATAATATTTCCAAAAGTTCCTCAAAGTGCATATGATCCATGTATAAGGACGCTTACTTCAAGCAAAGAATGAGGATAGCTGAAGATCAGCAACAGGGAAGGAAGGTTAAATAAAATCGTGTGGACATGTGAATTACTTCGTAGCCAGATACAGACTAGCTTTCATGAATGTATTGAGTGTTAAAAAGGAAAGTATACAATACACAATTCTTTCGTGTAAATAAAAATTATTTCTAAGGATCCAAATAGGTATGTTTGTACATAAGGTTTTTATAAAAGAAAAATTTTTTTAAACTTCACAGTGGTTGCATTGGAGATGGTGGTTGGTTTTCACTTTATTTTTCTTGAACATTGCAACTTTTTTTCTGTACTTTCCGAGTTAAAATCAAAAACAAAAACAAAAACAAAAAACCCTGACAAAAATCCACTTCCTACTTGTGTTCCAAGCTGGAAATACTTGAGTCTGGTATGTTTTTAAAGTGTTCGTGACTGTCTTCTAATGCTGTACTTCTTAACTCGGGCTATGCCTTAGAGTACCTGGGGGTTTTAGACAGTCATGATGCCCAGACCAATGAAACCTGGGGGGTGGGGTAGGGGTGGGGGTAGGAGGAGTCAATATATTTTTTCTAACTTCCCAAATGACTCCAGTGTGAACTCAAGGTTGAAAAACACAATCTATATTTAATGTAATTAAATAATAATTTCCCTCTTGACCATTTATTTCACTGAACCAAGCAAACACTAACCATCTAGTTTTGATGAACTGCTTTACCAAAGTGATAATAAAATATATTTGGATTATTATAATTTACATTATCAGTTAGCCATCCAAATTATTTTATGGCACATGGAAGATATTAGCAGTCTTTAGCTTGTGTCATGGAAGGACTAATAAGGTTTGCTGTATCTAATGAAAAATCCTTCTTTCTTGCCTTGGCATAATCTGGACATTAAAATAAGACACACTTTAGATTCACTGACCTTAAATCTGATTTCTAATAAACTGAAGACATTTGTTATGTACCCATATATACATAAAAGGGAGAGAAATGGAAGGTTTCTTTTATCTCTACCTAAAGTATTAATGGGGTTAATCATGTAATATGAAATGCCTAGAAAACTTTAGGGGGAGTGTGGGGACACTTTCTACCTTTTCTCTCCTTGGAACCAAGCTACATCTTCCTCTAGAACCTTCCTTGATTTTTTCTTTCATCTTTTCCTTTCCTACTATTGACACCTAGTGGTAGCCCTGGCGTGAGTTTTGTTACCTACCACGGAAAGCAACTTTTCCTCTGTGAACTTGCTTATCAGTATCTTTGTCTAAAAATAGTTTTAAATGCCCCCTTTCACCTCTGTGGGCCCCTTTCCTGTGCTCTGAGCCTCAGGCTGTGCCGAGGCAGGTATTTTGAGGACCAGCCCTTTCTCTTAGAGGAGTTCAAAAGCTGCCTTCAATCCTAAACTATAATCTGTTTTGTGAGCTTATGAAGACATCAGTGTGCTGATAAGTTCACTACAGGGAGGTCTGAAGAGTATCAGCGGCACTGGATTTCCTATTCTCTCAAACCGGAAAAGGGTGACAACATTGCTCTTACTAGGTTCTTGGGATTCAGATAATGAGAATGTGAGGGTAGCTTTAAATACAACCTATCTGCTTATGACTCCTAACTGAAAGTCTCCGTAATATCCATTCATTGTGGGTGCCTCTGTGTGATTCCTGCCTGGATATTGTGGCAGAAACAGTGGTGTTCACCAAATATCCCATCTACTGCCCCACATTTCCCACCCCATTTACAGTTGGTTGAGGCTCTGTGACCACTTTTGGCCAGTGGTCAATGGGTGAATATGCAGTGTGACACTCCTAGATGGAAGCATAGAAGAGCTCCAATTCCACCTCTCCATCTCTCTCTCCCTCTCTCTCTTTTTCACAACCACAGACATTCTAGACGATGAACCTCTACCAGCCTGGGTCCCTGAGTGACCATGTGGAACAGAGACCACCCACCAGTCACTACCTTCCACCAAGCCATGAAAGAAATGTAACAAGTGAGAAATAAACAGTTGTTGTGTTAACCCACTGAAGTTCTTTTTTTTTTTTCCTAAAGATTTTATTTATTTATTGGACAGAGAGATCACAAGTAGGCAGAGAGGCAGGCAGAGAGAGAGGAGGAAGCAGGCTCCCCACTGAGCAGAGAGTCCGATGCGGGGCTCGATCCCAGCACCCTGGGATCATGACCTGAGCCAAAGGCAGAGCTTAACCCACTGAGCCACCCAGGCACCCCTTAACCCACTGAAGTTCTAAGGTTGTTTATGGTTGCACCAAAGCACAATTTAACCTAACAGCTCATTGCTACCTTCAGTTTTATGTGTTCAAGATTGAAATATTAATGTTCTCCTGTAAACTTATACTTCCTTTGTTCCCTCCATCTCCATAAGTGACAACTACCTGCTGTTCATCTACATGTTTAAGGGAGAAACCTGGATACCATACTCACATCTCCACATCTCCGCTTTTGTCACTTCTCCTGTGCAGAAAAGAGTTGATAGAACTGAGCTAAGACTGGTAAAGCTCTGCCTGTAAGGTTGGCCCCTGGCTGGCGTCTGGGAATCTGGCTGGCAAATAGTTCCCTACATTGATGTAAGATTTTCTCTAAATAATAAGGATGCCTCGCTAGGCCTAAACTGTTTGTACAAACAATATGGTTTATGCTGACCATGACCTGCTTTCCTTCTGGGACTCTAGGACTTTGGTACATGTTAGGCAGAGGTTCCAACATGACCAGCCCCCAATAAAAACTTTGGGTGCTTGAGTCTTTAACAAGATTCCCTAGGCAAAAACACTGCACACCTGTTTCTGCATTTTCATTGCTGATAGAAGAGTGAGCTCCGTGTTACCCCTCCAGAGAGGGAGACAACATAAGGAGGCCTGTGCCTAGATTCTCCCATTTTCCACCTGTGTCCTTTTTCCTTATTATCCAGATGTGTACCCTTATAATATCTTGTAATAATATTAGCATGAGAAGAACTATATAATAAATTCCATGAGTCATTCTAGTGAATTCCCAACATGATATGGTCTTAGGGACCCCTGTATGTATCCCCCCATATCTAATCCAGCACTGAGTCCTGTCGATTCTACTTCCTAAAATATACTTCACATTATTTTTTTTTAATTTTATTTATTTATTTGACAGACAGAGATCACAAGTAGGCAGGCAGGCAGAGAGCGAGAGAGAGGAGGAAGCAGGCTCCCCGCTGAGCAGAGAGCCCGATGTGGGGCTCGATCCCAGGACCCTGAGATCATGACCCGAGCTGAAGGCAGAAGCTTTAAGCCACTGAGCCACCCAGGCGCTCCCTATACTTCACAATATTGTGCTGCTTTTCATTATTTGTTTTCATCACTTTGGAAGTTGCTATCATTTTTTATTTGTATTGTCCTTTAACAGGACCCAATAAAAAACACGCCCCCCCCCCTTTTTTTCCTGTCTGAGTTTGGAACCAACTGAGAGATACAATAAGAGAATGAAGTGGAAACTTTATTTAATCATTAAAATCTAGATCGGGGTAGCGTAAGTGTGCAGCCAAATGGATTTGCTAACATGTCCTTAGTTAAATTCATGCCCCAATCACTGCCTTCCACCTTAGAGTTGTCCATCTTGAGAGGATGGACCAGATTGTACTTTCATTAGGCACACCGTTTTATAGAAAGGAGAAGGGAGGGGCTGAGCTGAGCATACAAAAAAAGGGAGTGAAAGTTGGATATTTTAAGATTTCTTGCCCACTGTGAATTTATCTTCCAAGTGGAACACCAAATCCTGTGCATTAAGCAAATGATATACATGCTGACCATAAGTAGGCAGTGGAGAAGGGAGTGTGGTCAGTGAACGCCGCAGTGTCTATAGTGAGCCTTAAGCAATACACTGGCCATTAGTACCAAGTCAGGCTAAAAAAGTAGGCACAGAGCTATGTGGGCCCAGCGAAGGGCGTTAGGTAATGTGGGTCTCAGGGTGCAGGCTGCTGCTCCTTGACCTTGAAGTGTGTTTAGAACATAATCATTCTACACATTCATTCTCAGCAAAGGTAGGAAGGTCAAAAAAAACCTCAGAAAGAAGACATAGCTAAAGCAAGGATTAAATTACAGGAAAAATGTCTTTTGGTATATACACAGAATACCATTTACTGCAATTAGAGATAGTGAATTTAACAAAACATAAGCTTCAGGTCCCCTCACATATGTGGGCCCCTTTCCAAGGTCCTGAGCAACTCGAGTAATGTGTTCCCATGGTCATCCTTTCTATCCTTTTCCTGTAATTTGAAAGCACACAAAACTACACAAAAGTAGTACAGGGAACTCTTTTGCAACAGCCATTTGAAAGTAGGTTGCTAATCCGATGCCACATGAGCCTCTAATGCTTTGTTTGCATTTCCTGCAAACAAGGACATTCTTCAACATGACCACAATACAGCAGTCGGAGTCAGGAAGTTAACCCTGACATCTGGTCCTCAAATCCAGTTCAGAACCAAGTAGATTTAGTTGTCATGTCTGTTTCCCTTCCTCGTCCTGGACAGTTTCTCAGTCTTTCACTAACATTCATGATATTCACATTTTCAAAGATTATAGGCCGTATATTTTATAACTGCTACGACCGCCCCCAACTGCAGTTTGTCTGACATGTCTTTATGATGACATTCAGGTCATGCCTCTTCGGCAGGAAATTCACATAGACTAGATTCAGAGCACGTGTAGGGCTGTACTTCACTTCCCTTCTCTCGCAGCTTGAGGGAGACTCACTACACTACCAGGT